AGGATGAAGAATATGCATGTCGAAGAAAACGTTCACTTTAAGTGTCCCTTTCTGATCGCTCCATAGCCTTTAGAGAATAACTCGTGGATATCGACGGAGCGGCGCGGAGTCTTTGTGCCCTCCGTGTATTCGACCTCTTCGTCTTCTTGTCTGTCTTTATGAGGATGGTGATATCCTTCTTCCGACTCTAGCTCTGTTGCGACCGGACTGTCGGATTTCAGTGCGCTTGGAGACACCATGACTCTCGGCCGAGCCAGCAACTCTCGAATTTGACGCTCCTTGGCATCCATCTCCTCTTCCTCCCGGGCGAGTTCAAAACTCGATTTTTTCTTGCCGTGGTCCCAACCCTGTTGAAGCTCCGAGGCAGCAGCCTCTTCGAATCGCATCCGGATGCCCAAATCCTGCTCATATTCCTGGAAGACGTCGACATCAGTAGGAAAGAAAAGAGCCCGCAGGGCAGACATAGTCATTTCGAGCGCGACCACACTGACTATGGTCACAAGCAAAACGGTCCAAAAGGCTAGGTCATGGCCCGAAACGTTCACAAGATTGCCCAAAACATGGTAGATGCCGTCGCCGGAGGAGGGATTGTAACGGAAGTCAAGGATTAAGTTCCACAAAAACCATCCACCGACGGAGATGATCCAAACCGCTAACGACAGGTATGTCTTATTATGAACTTCGAGAGCCTGAAGTTTCGTGTTGATCACAACGACGCAGGCGGTGAAAGTGAGAAGACCGGCGGAGAAGATGTCGCTTCCCGTGCGAGTAAACATGACATTCTCGAAGAGACTGAACATGAGAAAGTAGATAAGCATGGCTTCACAAGTGGCCATGAAGGTCCAACCAAGGAATATGCGAATATTGAACCCTCCATGGCGTTGGCCTTTGGTGTAAAGTTCTGGCACGGCAAGGAGAGTGGAAGCGGAGAGGTCTTTGGTGAAGATGCCCAAGAAAATGACTGCAAGTGAAGTGAAGAGAGTGTTGAACATGCTCAAGCTCCAAGACTCGTACAGACTAGTGCCAGTATAGCCGTTCCAGTGTTGATAGAGAGCCTGTGTAAGATAGAAAAGCATCTCTTTCCAGAAAGTGCCCAAAGTGTATTTACATACGCGAATATAGTTCCAACGGCCGTGGACGAGAAGGAGCTTGAGGAGGAAACGAAATTGCGCAATTGAATAGTCGGATATCCGAGCGGCCTGAAGCCCCTCCTTACCGGTGATGCCGATGCCGACATGAGCTTCCTGGATCATGGCAATGTCGTTGGCACCGTCACCAATGGCCAACGTCACACTATCTTTCACCTGTATGCGAATTGACTTGACCAAAAATGCTTTTTGCTTGGGGCTCGCACGGCAGCAGATCACTGAATCGACGAGGACAGCTAGTCGGAAAAACTGCGCTTCCAGAGTCTTGTCGGCTTCTATCATGGAGAGTGTCTGACCATCCACGACCACGACCGAGTGAGCCACGGTTCCTCTGATAATGTCGGCGGTAAATTTGACAATCGAGCGCTCAACTTCGCCAGTCTCTTGGTCAAGGATGACCAGAGAGGAATAGTCTTTCACTAGACGGCACGAGTGTCCAACATTGATCGCCGTCTCACGTTTGTCACCAGTGAGCATCCATAACTTAATGTTGGCTCGACGCAATTTTTCAATGGCTCCGGGGACACCCTTTTGGAGTTTGTCTTCAATGGCTGTAGCACCTGTAAGCTCAAGCTGATCTTCTATCTGCTGGCCAACCGTCTCAATTTTCTCCTGTCGATTGACGAGGCTGGTGCAGGCTTCAAGGTAAGCCTTTTTCCAGCTCGCGTAAGTATTCTCATCGAGAAACCGGTGTCCATATAGAAGCGTCCGCAGTCCTTCGGTGGCGAAGTCGTTAAGATGCTGGAAGCATCTTTCAAACACTGCTACCTCGTTGACGACAAGAGCTTCTTCCACCAAATCTTCCTCCTCGTTGTCATGCACGGAGCTGCCCGAATCGGACAATGTACTGGATGCCCGGCCCAATTGAGCAGATGGTCGGGGGCTATAGTACTCAGGGTCGTTGCCACGCGTCAGGAGACCTCCATCGGTTTCCCGGTCCTTGAGCCAGATGTCGATGCTCTCTCGCAGCGCCGACACAGGTTCTCCCGTGACGCTTGACCGTCGTCTTGACATACTAGGTCGGCTGAGGCTGGTCCGGAGACCGCTATCCTTGCGGTTATGATATTCACTATTTCGCCGAATAACCTGGTCAGCCTCGGCTGCCTTACGCTTGCTGGCGCGCCTCTCAATCTCGACTGCTTTCTCTTGCGCGAGGGCAGCACGCTTGAGCAAACGCATGACATGGCTATCGGCCCCCTTGCAGAATAAACAGATGCGCTGATCGGGCATGCGAACGACAACTGACATGCGCTTGCGGGCGCTTGAAAACTCAATTGTATCCATCACTTCATAGATTTCGTCACATGCGGGACCGTCGAGGCCTTTGGGGTACGTTCGGATTGTTAGAGTGTTCGGCTGGCGGTCACGGACCAGATAACCAAGTTCTTGTGCGGCCATAACCAGAGCTAGCTCATCAGGAGATGCCGCTTGGAAAGAGACAGTTCCCTCCTCGGAATCCTCTGGGATACAAGTATGGCACAGAGCCATGGCCAGGATGAGCATTTTAGCCTTCCGCGCGAAGACGGTGTAAGGCTTGCGTTGGATATACCGGAGCATATCCGTTGTTCGATGCTTGCGCATTGAGACACCAGGTCCCTGCGGACCGGTCGCTGTTGACATGGAGGATCTTGTTGGATGTCGCCTAGCCTCGGAGACATTGGACTTGCGACTAAGAGCCTTCTTCCCTTTCACACTACGCTTTTTGTGAATCAGTTTAGTATGGCCGCCGTCACTGGAAGCTTCTTGGAGCAGGTCAAAATCATGGTACCATGCGGTGCCTGCGACACTCATCTTGCGGAAGCGCATCGAGTTGTTCGTCAATGTGCCTGTCTTGTCAGAGAAGATGTAGCTGACTTGACCCAGCTCTTCGTTGATGGTCGAGGTGCGTGCTTCAACGGGCGTGTCTGTGTCCGGATCATACATATCGACGTCGGCATTGAGGAGAAGCATTTGAGCAACTTTCACAATCTCCATACTGACGTATAATGAGATGGGAATCATCGTGTTGAACATGATGAGGAAGGATGTGAAGATAGGTCCAATGTCCACGCCTGCCTTGAAAAGGTACCATGACTTTGATTCAACGTCTTCAGACCAATACTTGTAAGCGATTGTGCAGGCTACAGCCAGGATCACGACGAGTGTCACGATCAACATGACCACGCGGTTGACCTTGGACTGGAGCGAAGGGAATTTGATCCGAGGATTCTTGTTCGCATTCATGCGTATTTTGCATTCCTCTCCTGTATAAATAACCATTCCGATCGCTCTTTCCGTGTTTCGCATTATGCTACCGCGGTAAAGGACCTCGGTATTCGTCAAAGGCAGTTTATCGTCTGGGCCAACCGTGACATTGCCATCGAATTTGTAAAGGTCGAGGTTGGGATCCTCGACCGCAAAATGCAGAGCACTGCTGCAAATGCCCTCGGCAGAATCACAAATTTTTGCTACCGGCTGCAAAGGCTGCTTATTCTTCAGATTCGTCTCGCCATCGAGAGCCATTGTCTCAATGTAAGCAACGCAATTGGGTCCGTCCGCATGGAGCAGAACCATATCCGCTGGCACGGGCTGGTCACGCTGTAGTTTAATCACATCGCCGACCTGAATATCCTTCCATTTGATCAACGTCCAGTCTTGCGCGTCACTAGCCATGGAGATGTTGTCGCTGGCAGAAGCCGGATTAAATATTCCAGCAGCCGGCCGCAGGACCAGCACATTCCGGTTGTTCTCTTCCTTGTCCAGACGGTAACGACGCCAGTCGTCAAAGCCTTCTTTACCCATAGAAATACCAACGAAGATCAGTAGCGGGACAATCGTTGTGTAGGTACCTGTGGTACTCAGCCCTGGAATCATTTGCAAGATGGCGACGATCAAGAAGTAGAAATTTGCGAGCTTGGTGAATTGGGCGAACAATTGTCGGGGAAAGAAGCTCCAGAAACTGTATCGACTTGAGCGAATAGAGTTTCCTAAGTATGGCTTTCCTGTTCTCTCGTCCACCAGTGGGTCCGTGCGAGAAGGGTTAAGATCGATATGGCGTCCATCTTTGCTTGGAGGAATCTCCTTAATCCGAAGAATGGTTTTTCGTACTGCCTCAACCAATGTCTCCATCCGAAGCTTTAGCGTGGCGATCGCGGCTTTACGCTTCAACCATCGATCATAGGAAAATGTTGTGGAGAGGTGTCTGCCATCCTTCAAATTCTCCGAAGGTTCGGAATAATAGGTGGTGGATAGGTCTAAGTTAGCGTCCGAGGCAGATCTCTGCATGACCAATACATCCTGTTTCTCATCCGCTGGTGCTGCCCGAGCAAGATCATCCGCCTCGATCTCAACCTGCTGAGGGTTCAAAGACAGAGCGGTACCTAACTCAATCGCGTCGGGAGAAGTGACAGCCGACTGCGACTCGATGTTTTTGGCAAAGATTGTTCGTCTCAGGGAATACCCACGGTGGCGGGACCGCGAACGACCGCCAGCTTCAGGACTCTGTGGAGATGGAGGGGACAATGCGGAGCGCGGAGATGATGCCGAGCTAGCATTTGAACTCTCCCTGAGATCCGTGTTGATAGTCAGTCCCCTAGAAGCTGGCCGACGATCCCAATTGGACCGTTGGACTTCCTCCACCGAGGGGCGTTCTAGATCAGTCGAAAAACGAACATGTTGCTGCTGCGAAGGGCGTCGACCAGCGTCGGAGACGGCGCGAGATGGTGAAATCGAAGAGCGGCTGGGGGTCACATGTGTTCGGGTGGACGGGACATGCAGGGACTGGCTCCTAGGGAGGTGTGAGGCGGGACTAGTAGAAGAGCTCTCTGGGGGTGTTGTCGTTGGCTGTCCTGCAGATGTCGCTTCCCGTGGAATGTGATGCGATTCTGGCGATTCATGATTATGGGGCATGGCGGACGGCCACAGATTGTGAAGACCACCAAATCCACTTGTCCACTAATCTCTCTCCTACCACTATGCAACCAACTGATTTCAAATCGGACACACGGTGATAAAATGTAATCGTTAGGGAATCAGTAGTACTGTGCGGACGAAATTACAAGAAAGTCAACGGCTGGACTCATGCTTTGGCGTAGGCCCTGCGATTGAGGTGGTACTCAAGAAAACGTCTTATGCGAGAGACGTGATGTGAAACCACCGGTAGGGAGACCCTGACGATTGCGTGTAGTATGTATAGTGCAAGCGATTTGCGGTGCGCGCGCGTATATAAAGGTCGGCCGTGAGGAGTGGTTGGTGGGGGGGAGGGAATGCGACGGATGAAACGAAGCAGAAACGACTGTGGGGGTGGAGTATCAGGGTCAATTGACTCGGGCGGGGGGGGGGGGGGGGGAAATGAAATGTGACACAAGGCTAAGTTGAAATTCAAAGGCGATCTTGATGATAATAACCAGTGAGAAAAGGAATCTATCTCAGAGGCAAAACAGAGGAATGAACAGAAAACGGCGTTTGGCCCGTCTGGAGACTTTTTGGGTTTCCGCAGGCGGCGAGGGACAAACGGGGCCCGAAGAAGACTCAATATGATGTTCCAAGGTGGGTAAGTGACGAAAAAGTGAAAGGCAGAAAAAAGGGGCCCTGGGAAATGAAAGCGGTCACCCTAGCCGAGAATAGAAGAAGCACCGCCACTCGCTGGCCGATAATCTATCGATAAGACCGCACGCAGGTGCAGATGCAGGGCGATTTGCAACTTGAAAGGGAGAGCAGAGGGAGAAGGAGACCAGTTATTGTTGTTTTAACACCACCCTTCAAATATTGCCTGCTAGGATATTGCGAGGAATCAGAAGGAAAGATAAAGGAAGGGGGGAAGGAATGGTTGGCTATTGATACTTGACTGAGTACGGAGTACGTGCCAGGTGGTAGTAGATCTGAGTCTCGACTGGGTGGGTGAAGGCCGATAAGGTGGAAAAAAGAATAAGTTTGCATGCGGAGGCACCTTAATTGCTGCCTGGCCATTCACCGGTCGCTTCTCCGCCCTCAATCAGAACCAGCCATAGAGAAAAAAAGAGAAAGGGCCACGCAACCATGCAACAACACAACAACATTTCAAGGTTCACCTGCACTGCCCTCCTTCTGTCTCCGAAAACTCTCTCCCTCTCCCTCTCTCTTTCTAATAATAGTGGCTCGTCTCTCCCCTACATAGTACCTCTGCATAGAACTACTCGAGTATGTCTTTATAGTCAACGTGCAACTTAGGAGCCCTGAGATTCCTCTCTTAGTACCCCGCTTACCTACACTTCTCTGGAATCTTTAGTTGGTTATTGGGGAAGCGGACTGACTGAATGAATCAGGAACAGAATCTCGTAGGGGTCTCTAGGCTCCGTGGCGGAAGATGTCGATTCTCTGCATCCATGGCTAAGACTCATTCCAGAAATTTCATCCTTCCATGGATGCAACAACCGGCAAATGAATGTTGATTCTACTCGGGTAGTAGTACGTATGCTTACCCCGCGTGGGTGGGGTCTCACATAAGCGGTGGCAACCTCAAATCGACTTCTGCCTGGAACAAGAAAAGAAGAGAAAACAATTAAAAGAGAGAAAGAAAGAAAGAGAGAGAGAGAGAGAGAGAGATGTACTCCATACAGGGCACTACACGGGGAAGAGCGGGGCCAGAATTGACCATACCAGCTCGGAGTAAACCAGCCCACCATCTTCCATGTTATGCGGCTGCCTGCGCGCCACTGACCTTTCCATGTCGACTTGACAGGTTTGAGGTTGTGGAAAGGTTGGACGAACACTCAGACGGCAATATTGTATGCAAATCTCATCCAATTGACTTATGTTTCCGGTGGAGCCCAGTTTGTGTGGTGATTCACATGGCGAATCCAGGTCCAAAAACAAATCTTGACTTTCCGGGGTGTCATTTCCTGTCTACCACTACTCCGTAAGATGACAATACCCTCAAATGCTCCACAGTAAAAGTAAAAGTAACTCTAACAAGGTCACTTTATACTCGTTCTCATGACGTCATACTTGGGTAAGATAATCCAGCAAGTTCTACGCAAGTTCTACACCGTATGCTATATTTGGGAATCCGTAGCCTCCCCAGTGCTGCCTGGCCTAAACGGCCGGAGTATGTCAGATTGTCGGGTCATCGGCTTTCAGAAAGCTGCGAGGATCGACATGCCATCCTTTCCGGAGAAACACCGACTAAAATACATTACTTCGTGCTTGGACCCTCACAGAGGAGACTGAGAAGCCATTTGTATTCGTGCCGCTTTTGTGGCCGTTTTCATATCATAAAATGCTCAAATTAATCAGGGAAATGATAACTAAAGACTTAAGCCACTTTCACAGTGCATAGGAGCGTAGTACATCCCATCTCCACAATGCCGTCTAGTAGCGAGGAGGTGCTCCGTAACCTGGATAGCCTCGTGTAGTTCCGCTGGGGGCCTGGCCGTGTCCATACCCAGACTGGTTGGGGTGCGGAGACGAAGCGCCGTACCCGCCACCGTAGCCTTGCCCATAGCTTTGAGAGGGACCCTGACCCTGACCCTGACCCTGACCCTGGTTTGGGGGATATGGTGCTTGGTTGTATCCCGGTCCTGAGCCATACTGTCCTGGAGGAGGCTGATTGTAGTTCTGGGCTGGAGGCTGGTTGTAGTTAAAACCACCGTACTGACCACCTGGGGGGCCCGGAGGCGGAGGTCCACTGCGCCCAGCAGCCTTCTCATCTTTGGTGTCGTATGAAGAGTCAATAGCACCCAACATCAGTTTGGCACACTGAGGGCATGATTAGTCATGGATACATAGTAGGATTGCACGCGCTCGGAGGCACTCACCCAAAGTTCGCGAGTCAAATGCACTGGGGGATTGGCCCGCGACATTTCATCTTGCTCGACCTCGAAGTCTAAATGCTCGGTTAGTGTGTCGTTAAATGACGGCGCGGCCACAACATACTTGAGGTGCAATCAATCAGAGAGCCAATTTGGGGATCTTCGTCAAGAGAAGCTAGAAAATCCCGAGCTTTGATGTCATTTCCGACCTGTGAGAACTGGAAGGAAACAGCCCCCTGTCCATACTGAGTGCGAGAAACTTCGTTGACAGCATAGCCAATGGAGTTCGATACGCTATCCAGAGGCTCACCGGCGGGCTGTCCATCGGTAATGGTGATGATGAGAACAGGCTTCTGTAAACGACCTGCTCTCGCCGGACCCACCACCATCGGGTCCAGAACTTTGTTGCGTAGACTAGTGCCCAGTGGCGTAAGACCCTGGAAGCGGACCCGTGACACAAGGCGGTTGACGTCGTCTGCGTTGCGGATGCCATCGCCTTGCTCAGACGAGTTCATAAACCGGACTGAAATACCATCATCGTCGAAGGTGGAAGCAGCGGAAGCAACGACTTCGATGATAGAACGCAGCTGTTCCTTTCTCACGCCTCGTTCTTCGAATTCAATTGAGCCACTGTCATCCACGTACAGGATGACATCGAAGAGAGCTAACTTCACAATGTCCATGGCCACCTCGTTCGGGATATTCAGCTCGTGAGTGAGCTTGTTCACCTTGGAAGGTGCCTCATTGGCCAGAGACTGGATAAGCCTATCAAGTCTCTCCGGGGGATAGAAGCTTTGGATGCGTTTCTCTTGGATAGTCCCAATCAACAGCTGTCGGTAGGCAGCAATCTGTTGCTCTGTCGCACGAGTTGGGGGAGGTGCGCCGCCCGGGGGACCATACGCAGCCCCGGAGGGACCACTTTGCTGAGGAGGACGAACGGGTCCACCCGAATAAGGCGCATTCTGAGGAGGGTAAGGTTGACCCTAAAATGTCAGACTCGGTTAGTACGTGTGCAAATAGAGTGGAAACGTGTGCGCAATTTTTGCATAAACACAAATACAAGAGAGAATGATCGAATGCAGGGAACTAGGACAAAGTATGTACTTGAGGAGAGATTGGCTGCTGAGAGTACTGGGGAGCGGAAGATCCGTAGGGCTGAGCCTGGGGCGGGGGTGGCGGAGGCCGGCCATAGCCTTGCTGCGGCTGAGAATACTGTCCGTATGGTTGGTCCTTAGTGCCATAAGGCGACGCTTGCGCAAAGCCTTGGGCAGGAGGGGCGGGTGCGCCGTATGGTGCTTGCGAATAAGTCTGGCCATGAGCTTGAGGTGCAGGAGATGGCGAAGGGTTGGCCGGTGCAGAATAGGCTGACTGAGAACCAGGGTAGGGAGATTGAGACGACTGATAAGGGGGTTGTGCTCCAGGGTAGGGCGACTGAGGGCCAGGAGAAGGCGTGGGAGCGGGCTTATTGGGAGGAACTGATGGAGCCGCGTATGCCTGGTATTGTCCGGACGGTGAGGTTGGATAAGGAGATTGGGAGGGTTGAGTTGATCCAGGACGGAGCTGAGAGGGGTGACCGTAAGGGTCATAGTAAGGTCGAGACATGGTTGACGAGTTGCGCCCGAAAGCCGGACGAAACAAACAGGAAGGATGTGAACGTTGCAAGAACGCAAAGTGCAGGCCCCGGTCGGGTGAAAGGGTGAAAGTAATGATGGTAAGGATAAGAAGTTGTTTTAAGGATGGTGGGGTTGTTTCCAGGCTGTCGTCCGTTCGATGACGATCGATGGAAAGAAACTCCGAGAGGGATGAAGAGGGATTGGAAAAGACTAAAGAAAGAACAAGGCAACCGTAAGGAAATTTTCTAGCTTACCGGACCACCAACGGGAGCAGGGGAGCCTGAGTAAGCCTGATACTGCTGACTCTGTTGCTGTTGAGGCTGTTGTTGTTGCTAGTGAGTGAATGCGTCAGCCTTGGGGGACCAGAAATTACAGGAGTTACGGGTTATGGAAATGTGTAGGTCAAACTGAAGAAGGACGTGTCATGGATGGGTAAATAATTGGTCACTGCTTAGGGCGGTGGTTACTCACAAATCCACCGGTTGCTCCTCCAGGCTGCAGCGAGCTAGGAGGTCCTCCAGTGTAGCCAGCGGGCGGTGCTCCCCCATACACATCACCGGGCTTATTGGTGTTCACGTCGGCTGGACGGTTCATACTGTTGGCGATTTTGGAAGCGAACTGCAGAAAGGGTGAAAGCAAGCGCAGGATGCGGTGATTAGTTTTCAAGACCCTCAAAGTGAGCAGGTTGACGTGTTCAAAAGCTGATACAGATGATTGCAGGCCGAGCTCTGGGATGAGCGGGGCAGCAACGCGGGGCAGCATGAACGACGAGGAAGGCAAGGTGGAACAAATGATTCAGACACGACTTACCCCCATGTTGGGTTGACGAGTTATCTTGATATCAAGCTCCTTTCTAGCGCTAATTCAATTGGAATCAAGGTCTGGGAGGAGGAAGGGAAGGGAAGAATCAGGCGTTGTTTTGACCCTGCAGTTGGCTGGTTGATATAGTCTGATGATGTCGTCAGAGGAGCAAGAGAGGGGAAAAGGGTGAGGTAAAAAAGAGAAGGTCGAAACACAAACTATTACGAGGTCGTGAAGAGAGCGTGCCGGCCTCCAAAAGTTCACAGCCACATCTCAGATCAAATGAGGGGCCGCTAACCGAAACCAAGGCTGCATCAAGCCTTAATTCGGGGCTTAGTCGCTTTGTGTCGACCCAAGATGACAACCGCTGTATTCAACTCAGGACCCGCGGAGTCAGATGGATGAATCTACGCAGTACTGTACGTACAGTATATCTCTAATCATACCAACTAGAGTCAGTACAGTCAGATATAGTTCCATTAAATTGCCCCTTGTTGGCTATTTCGCAGTGAGTGAACGGCGCCCATAGAATCTAAATATGATTTTCACCTTGCAGTGTTCAGAGGTCCACAGTCGCACGAGGCTGCCCTGCATCTAAATGCGATGCGATGCGATGCGCTGCATCCAGAATATTCCACCATTACTCATATGTCCTAGAAAACACAGTAAATTACGGAGTACATTTCAAGCAAGAAGACTGGCACCTGACCTACCAGCAACCGCATTCTGAGCTCATATTGAGTCTGCCAAGATGTTGAATCCAGACTATGTACTCCCTAGGGTGGCGATTCCGGGTCATACAAGGCAATTGTTCTAAGCATGGTTGGCTGCATGAAAAATTGTATATCTGATCGGTTATTGTACTCCGAAGTACTGTGTATGAGTAGTCGACAAATCTGGGCCCACCAGATCAGCCTGCAGTCCCACCGTCGTTAAGATTGATCAGTGGACTGATGAATGACACTGAGGACTTTTTTTTGTTAAAGAAGGCACGAAACATTAGTTCTAATGAAGATAAGAAGGAAAGAAAGAAAGAAGAAGGATTATGTTGACAAAGGATAAAAAACACAACACAAGTGCCACTGATGTCATGGAATACTCCGACCCAAACAAAGGTCGACGAGAGAAAAAGAACAGCTTCGTGGACCTGCTTTCTTCTGTGACTGTGATCACAATTGTCCTGTGCCTGGATATCACAAAGTTGTGCTTAAGCCAAGCTTAACAAGTCCCCACTTGTCACTTCCTTGACACATTCGATTCAAAATCGCAGTGCTTGTTGTCACCTTGGAACACTGACTGCTCGCCGGATTAGTAGGGGCCAACACTGCAACAGGCAGGTACCTTCTGTATCATGGATCCATCCACGATCCATCCCTTGCATCCAGCATACCTTCTTACCTGAAGCCAGTGCTCGATCCCGGCCAAGGCTTTGTCCTGGTCATTGCTCCAGAAAATGCTCCTTTCTTCTCATCTTTCTCGTCACTTTCAGAGTCTCTCAATCTCTTCCTTTCGTGTCGACTAACTGCGTCGTCCAGCTTACCTGCGTGAGTCATTATTTCGATTTCCCCTATTGGTATCCTAAGATACGCAGCTTAGACTAAACTAGTGGAGTTGAAAGCATACTCCGTTTATTGAACAGAAAAACTACCATGACGCAGAAGGTCCTCCGAGTCGGGATCCTAACCGCAGACGAAGGCGCTCAGGCCATCCAGGGAATATATCTTCCTATCCTTGCTGCTCTCACAAACACATACAGAGTAGCGGTCATCTACAATGCTTCGAGGTCCACCAAGCAAACTCTTACAGAGACAAGGAAAACCTACACCAATGTTCACTACACTAGCGGCCACGCCAATGGTCACCATAAAAATGGCGCAACCATAGCCAACAGAGATGAGAACGGACAAAAGAGCGTCCCACGTGCTGATTCTGTGGAAGAAGTCATATCTGACCCATCCATTGAGTTGATCCTGAATTTCATGCCCAATGAATATCATGAGATATACACGGTCGCGGCTCTGAATGCCGGCAAACATGTCATGGTCGAGACACCTCTAAGCCTGAGCATCCAAAGCGCGAGACGCATAATTGACGCGGAGAAGCATGCCCCAAACGGAGCGAAAGTGTTTGTGGCATGTGCTCGACGCTATGCACCCTGTATTGAGGAGGTCTTCAAGAAGGAAGTCGCATCATTGGATCGCATCTACTACGCTCGCTGCCGGAATATCGCCGGCCCTAGCTTGGCGCATACTGCTACTGCACCGCGAAAGAAGATCTGGGATGCTTTGGCTGGTGCAGCATATGGTTCTGCAGTGGGTGAGAATAAAGGAAAAACCAGTGGATCGCAGCTCATGCACGGCTTATTGCAGGAAATGTTCTTGGGAGAAGAACTGACCAAAGAACGCATCGCACTTTGCGAGTTCCTCGCATCTCTGGGCTGTCATGATTTGGGTCTGATGCGTGACACACTCGGGTATCCTGATGCCATCTCGAATATCTCTGTGAATGAGCCATACTATTCGGCCTTATTTCACTATGACAGTGGGCGGATGGGCGGCCACCCATTTACCCTTATGTATGAGACCGGCACTGATGCCGTCCCGCGCTGTGACGCGCACCTTGCGATTTATGGTGATACGAAGACTGTCAGCATTCAATATGGCCTGCCGTACGTTCGCGGCGAGCCTGTGAAGGTCGTGGTGGAAACGGCGGATGAGAATGGGGAAATGAAAAGGACTGAAAGCTTGAGCGGATGGCAAGAGACATACGAGCAAGAACTAAAGGTGCTGCATGCGTACCTCACCCAAGGCATGATGGCTAAGACAATTGCGCGCGATGGTCTTCAAGATGTGAAGCTGTTCTACCAGATTTTCGAGCAGTACGATCGACAGTGTGGCACCATTCGCACTCCGCTGGGCTGAGCAATGGTTGGGGCCTGTCGATTTCATTTGTAAGATTTCGATTCATACTCAAGCAAATCAGCGGGTCGTACTTCATTTGAGTAGTACGTGCGGCCTTGCTCGAGGCAGGATATTATCTTTAGATGGAAAACTTTGAGAACTAATTTGCATAGTTTGAGTTCCCTTCAAAAGGGACATCAAGGTTGCATCAGACAGCAAATCAACCTACTTTTTATTTACATTGCTCTTATGTAATCAGAGGACTCTTCTTTCTTCTCCGCCAGTCAGTGCAAGGCATGTCTCATGAATAGAAGTTAAATTATAGATCAGAAAATTACCGTTGCGAACTACTACCGCTTGCCCTTCTTCTTCTTCTTGTTTGCGCCACCACCGCTCTGAAGCTTAGGCTGATTGATAGCTGAGCCAGACTCCTCAAGCTTGTCATTTACCACACCACCCTGTGTCCTATCCGCAGCGCGCTGCTTGCCCTTGCGACCCTTAGGCCGGTAGTTCGATCGATCGCGCAGAGGTAGCCAACGTTCCGGGTCAGGAGTCTTGCTCTGATCGTAATCCTTAGGCAGCCTCGACTTCCGGACCCGCTTCTTCACCGCACCGCCGTGTTCCCTGCAAACGGCGGCCGGCCTCTTTCGAGCCCCCGCGATCGCAGCCGCCGCGGCGGCGTTCGCCCCGGATGAGGGTGCAATTCCCGCTGATTCGAGAGCAGCCAAGTCGACCTCGGCAACTAAGTCCGCGACCGAAGGGAGCTTGTCAACCAAGGATTCAACCTTGGCGTAGTCGATGGGGGCTTGAGCGGCAACGTAACCGGCGACGGCGAAGTGGTCGGCCTTATTAGACTGATAGAGGGATCTGAAGAGGTCGCCGGCCGTAGCCAGATCTTCTGCGTTGGATGAGTGCAACAAAGAGGCTGCGGCGGCGCGGAGAAGGGAAACAGGCGGTTCGCCAGTGCCTTGCCGAGGCTGCTGCCAGTAGACGGCGGCTTTGGCGAGTTCGGCGCGAATTTGAACCTTGCGGCCTTCCAACTTGTAAAGGGAGATGAGCACGCTCAGGACGCCTGGATTGAAGCGAACTTCCTTGTCTTGTTCAGAGATGGACTCGTCTAGGAGTTGAAGAGTGGATTCGAGTGTGGTTATCGCGGAGGTGGTGTTGCCAGCGCTGACGTAGAGCTGCACGGCCGTGAGGGCCAGACCCAGGTCCTTGGGCCGTTTGTCGAGCGCCGCCATGATGGCTTTGAGGGCTTTCGGGCCGGCTTCACCATGGGTGTGGGCGGCGGCGTTGTAGACCGAGAGGAGGTTGACGCTGGGTTCTGTGGAAGGGTAGGCGGCGCGAGAAAGCGCTTTGGAGGTCGAACGAATGATGCCGTCGTATTTACGGACCAACAGATCAGCGGCGTACGAATTGCCGATCGCCAGATTGCTCTGGTAGTCGAACAGCTTGTCGCTATCTGTAGAGACTGGAATCTCGTTTAGGGCCTTATAAAAAGCGTAGGGATTAGCGGAGGCGCCGCGAGCGAGGGTGGCATTGGTTTGTGCAATCTTCTTTGTCGAGGCTTCGGGGATACTGTGGTCGGATTAGCTTCAGTCTGGGACACGTTCGGTCAAAGACAGGAATTTGATGCGCACTCTTTGACAGAGATCTCCTCTAGGATGAACTGAGCCTCCTCGGACTTGCCTTGCCGGAGCAGAACGTACAGTTGCTGTACGGCAATCGGAAGCAATTCGGCATCTCTGTCCTCCGGGGAAAGGTCCTCTGAGGTGCGGCATAGCTCTGCGAAAATGACAAGGGTTAGCCGGCATTGCCTTTGTGTATTAGTTCACAAACACGGACCCTTCGCGCGCTTCAAGAGCAGCTCTCCCTGCTCAAATTCGCCCTTGGCTATACTCAAGCATGCAGCGTTGTAGACAGTCTCGAATGCCTCCAGATCATCGCGTGTCGCTCTGTTATGGCGAACAAATCCGGGGTATCCCTTCCATTGTAGCTGTGCGTCCGTAGCCCAGGCATTGATGCGCAAATCATTCTCCTCATTGGACAATGAAGCTCCGTCTTTGGACAGTTCTTCGTACAGCTCGGCGGCGCGACGGAATCTTTCAGCGCGATAGCTCTAAGTTTCAGGTGTAATAGATTTAGCATCCGTTGTTGAAGGGAGCGTATGACAACGCATAGAATGACAGATCAGAAGCGCGACATACAGCTTGAGCTTCCAAGTGACGAGCACCACGAATGCCTGTCACTTGCGACACCACTTCTATGGCCTGCTCCGGCCGACCAGACTTATAGAGAACGTATGCATATTCCAGGGCGGCCCGACTTTTCAGACCGTCCCCAGCTTCCTCGAACACACGCAAGCAGTCGTCGTAGCGGTCAAGTTTTAACAGAGCAATGGCTTTGATGTGCAGGGCATGCTGATCCGCCTTGGATTTGGCCAATGCAGCGTTGGAGGACTGCAGAACTTCCTCGTGGTCGTCAATGGAGGCTCGTTGCAGCAAGGAACTCAATGACTGAGCAGCCATGGTGACGCCGTGTCAGGTTGACAATCGAGACACCTTCGATATGTTTTTCGCGGTGGCTCAAGCGGGCGTAGGTCTTAACGAAATGAAATTGGCGATCTCCCACTCAGTCGATTCTTCTCTAAAACGTAGAGAACTGAGATTATGGGCTGAATATGCTTGGTCGTCCAAGTGGCCAGTCCACGTTTGAGCCATGTGTGCGGCAGCGTGATATTTCCACTTTGGGGAACTTTGCACTTGAGGACGGTTTCGGCAAACGTAGCCCATATTTCCTCCCTCCATCTTGCAGCCAAGTACTCCGTAGCTTCCAAGTGTTCGTCCACACCTGGACAGTAAGAATCGCTAGTTTCAACTCCGTGATATTCGACGGAAAAGACAAAGAAAACTCTCTGCCTCTATAACCAATCCAATCATCCCCAGCAATAGCAGCAATGTATTTTACTACAATCTGCTCCGTGGCTCTCTAATGGTTCCGCTTATCACTCCCATCAGTGAGGTTCAAGACCAGATACCCCCAAGTTTTTTTGGGTCCTGAATGTCAGATAAGCCTATCCAAGCTAGATAGACAATTACTCGAGTTATGATTCACATGCATTATTTAAGTTGAGACTGCTGCTAGTCTAAGAGCGACTCAAAGCTAAGGTATCCATGATCTGTTCACGGCGTGGCGGCGCGCACAGACAACCGGAGCCAAGCCTTGGATGATCATTGATTATTGGCCACCATAAGAAACATTAGTGCGAAGTACCTACTCCGTAGCTACTGTCACCTGTGTCAGAATAACTACGCCGTAAGTTATTTGTCTAGTTAGTTAGTTAGTTAGTTGAAGCCGATGACTAAGGTCCGACATAAGCTCGTTCCGGCCTCCTCGCCGGAACAAGACATTGTCCGGATTATTGTCTTTCCACCCCCGACTCAGGGCGCCGTTTGCGCTGATCCCACCCCGACTTGCAGAATGCACAAGTACGATACTGTTTCTCTCTCCATATTCAAGGGAGGAAGTCATGAACTCAAGCATTGTGGCAAGGTCATTTTACTTCGAACAGTTGCGTTGTCTATCATTACTTGACGCTGCTGATGCTGTTGAGACGGGACCGGGATCTAGTCAATAATAATCAATTGCTCATCCGGAACGCTATCTAATCGCTGAGCACGCGCGTGATTCGTCATCAAAATTCGTCGCCCCCGCCGTCCGTTTTAGGCCCGTCGCCCCAAACGGAATGCGCGTCAAATGCATGGTCGCACCCAGGGGTTGTACTTGAAGGGTGCGGCCAGTGGCTACATTTAATCGGTGGGGGGGAGGGGAGGTTGGGAAGGGGGGAAGTGCCAAGTTGGAGGTGGGAGAATGTCGTTACTTTTGCGCTTTCGCCTGTAACCGATTCTCTCTTCATCTAAGTGTCCTCTTCAAAAGGGCAGGCTGACCATCCCTCATTGATACGGTCCTCAGATCATGCAATGCGCAATGGAGTAGGACGGTCATGGAGAAGGCAAAAGGACCCCTAGAGGCAAAAAACGTAACCCTGAGGAGACTGTCACCCTTAGAAAGTCTCCTGGTACCACTAATAGGTGGTCCTTGAGCCGATCGGCCCCTGTGGATTGTAGTGGGACATGGTGTGGCTGCTCTGTCCAGCAGGTGTGCCCTGATGGCTTGACAGTTTCTCATTCGATAGACCATTTAATGATAGATGGATCGGTCTCCATCCGCTGCTTTCCAGGGCCCCAAGAAAACCAGACTGGCCCATAGTCGATCCCTGGGTTAGCCATTCTCCGCCCCGGTCATGATTCGTTTCGTCCCTAGTCAGATCCGGCCATTTTCGAGCCGTGCAGTGCTTGTTCTCGCTGCAATGGTATTTTGGAGCCCCGTTGATCGGCTATCAACCTTCCCACTCCATGCTCTCTCTTCCACTAACCTGACGCTTAACCGGGCTCAGGATTGACACTGTCGTTGTCGCTTCCTTTTTGACCTTCGTCATCACTCTGCCGTCCTCGCTTGCCTCCGACGTCGCCCGTCATTCTCTCCAACCTTGCGGTTTCCGGGGATTCTTCTATTCCTTCTCCCTGTCCTAAATTTGTATCTCCGCCCTTGCCTTCATCCTCTTTGCCGCCTGCTTCCCGCTCTGTTATTGACTTCTTTCTTGCCAGAACAACCTCCACCGTCCTCTCGCCCTCCTCCCTCCCTCCCCCCAAACCATCCATCCTCGCTGGCTCGGCGCATCGCGATGGTCTTGCAGCCTCGGTGCGGCGTCTAGGGCTCAAAATTTCTCCTGTTCATGAGATCATTTCAATCACAACCGAAGCCAGATGTGGAATAAGGGTGAGGAGAAGCCGCGGACCGCCATGGGCGCCTCGTACCTGTGGAGGAGAAAATTGCTGCGCTTTGTGGTTGCAGCTTGTCTTGTGACCAGTTTTACGATCATCCTCTGGCCTGAAATCGAGCATCACCATGAAATCACGACTCGGACCATCTCAAACATCACTATCACCTCCGAAGTCGAATGTGAGCCTGATTTCGATGCCCTCCAACGCCTCGACGTTCGCAAGCTCTCTCAATACGTGCGCCGTGAAATCGTTGTTTCCCCTTCCTCTGGCGACGTTGTTCCCATTGCACAACAACTCGAGGTTCCTCTATTCGAAAGCATTCACAAAGACCACCGGTTTGCAGAAGATAGTCTGCACCAGGATGATTGCTTAATGCCTCGTCCGGTATCTGTCACTGTTCCTCCAATTGTGCCCAGGGCGGATGCATCACATATCGACTTTGGCGTTGCTACAACACTAGAGCGTCTGAACGAATCTCTGGATGCATTCACTCATTGGGCTGGGTATACGAACACTCGCATCTTGGCACTCATTGAGCCAGATGCGCGGATCAATGAAGTTCTGACCAAGGCGCGAATCTTGGGTGTCAATCTCTTGGTGACAGAGTCAACAGAAGAGTATCAGCACCGGTATTTCTCTTTGGTACCACACCTGGCCAAGAATCTTCGACCAGAGACGAGATGGACCTGTGTTATCGATGACGACACTTTCTTCCCTTCGATGACGGCACTGGTACAGGCTTTATCGAAGTACGATGATTCAGCACAGACATATGTTGGTGGGCTATCGGAGGCGATGCCTCAAGTCGGAATCTTCGGTCTAATGGGCTTTGGAGGCGCTGGCGTCTTCATGTCTAGACCTCTAATCGAGCAGTTAGGCCGTAAGGACGTCTACGAAGATTGCCAAAAAATGGATTCTACCGGCGATCGCAAGATATCCCTCTGCATCTATCAATATTCAGATGCACATTTGACCATTGATCACCGCCTGAGACAGATCGACATGAGGGGTGATGTATCTGGTTTTTTCGAGGCGGCTCGCCCCCCGCCGCTATCTGTCCACCACTGGAAGTCATGGTTCAATACTGACATGGCGAAGCTGGGCGTTGTAAGTGAGATCTGTGGCGACTCTTGCCTGCTGCGGAAATGGCACTTCGGCGACGGCTGGATCCTCACCAACGGCTTCTCCATCGTCAAGTACAGCAATATTATTCCTACCGGTGACAAGTCGATGGAGCTCACCTGGTCAGGTGATAACGGAGCCGTCTTTGAGTCCTTCCTGCACGAGCTGGGCCCACTTCGACCGCGGGATGAAGGCAAAATCAGCTATACTCACGAAGACGCGGTCATTGATGGCAACCGGGTCCGTCAATGGTACATCCGTCGGGACCCTGAGCTCGGTGATAAGGTCCTGGAGTTGATCTGGCGAAGAGAGTAGAAGCAAATGGTTTACTACCCATTGAATGCAGAATCCTCTTCGACATCCCCGTTTTGTCGTCTTACACACAGCACCGGCCTGCTGCTCAATTTCTTCTGGACGACTCCCCACGTACCATGCTTCACCAATTCATCACGTCGATTCATCTAGCCGCAAAATGCGGTATATTTATAATTACTACGGCGCTTAGATCATGAAAGTTTTTTGTCTGCACTCCGTTTGATCAGGCGTGACAACGTGCTCTCCACACCTCATTGTATAGTTTTTCTTCGCTGACGACTTACTCGTCGCCTTATGTATAGCAACACGATCACACTTTTTTCAGTCATGTATGGGGTCTGGTTACGCTGGTTTCCGTGCTTTTCTTCTATAACAGCTTCAAAGATGCCCAACAATTGTTATATTTTGTGTTCTTAGAATTGAGTTGTTCCTCGAATGATCTATCAGCACTTCCACGAACAGGATGATAAGATCCATCTTGCTGTGCACTTGTGAAACCGTAAGCTAGGTGTTGATGTTTAAATGTAAGTTCATTTTTGTTGCTACAGCTTTGTCCAGAGCGGCTGTCGATATAGAAGATTACAGTGTGATGCTCAAACCCTGAATGTCTTGGTACATCATATGTATATACTTACGAAGGTGGTATCAAAAATGAACCGAACATCAACTTACCGTCCAGGTCGTCAAGTAAACCACACCCCCATCCTTCCAGAAAACGGTCCCTGTATGTTTTTACGCATCCTCCCTATGATATATTTTCGGGTTGTTGCGAATCGTTTCGTTAAAACCAGGTGCCACAGCACTGCCACATCCTCCATTTCCAACCTGGAATTTCACCTGCGAAGCCAGAGACAGAATTTGCGAGAGCGTATCAACTTCGTCAGAGTCCTGGTGATCTCGGATAGCGAGGCCATCCGGCAAGGAGGCGACAATGTCAAGACCGCTGCTCCCTGCGTCCCACGGTTCGGAACTGTCGTTGGGTGGCGGCGGCGACGATGGAGCAGGTAGAGCAAGGAAGTCGCCCATGGAGAGTGGACAGGTGAAGTCGAGGGCACCTTTGCAGCACTCAATTAACGCAGGGAAGAGATGAGACTGGGAGCCTCGAATGCGGGAGAGGGTGGTGAGGATTCCCCAGAGGAGTTCACGGGGGTCGGCAGCTGACTCGGTGCGTCGGGGAGCGAGTTTGGAGCCTGAGCCTATAGATCGCGCGACGTCGGCGACGGCGGTGCCTAGATCGAAGAGCTTTTGTTCCTGGATGATGGTAATGTGAGACGGGTTAGAAGCTAATCATTGGAGAAATGGAAAAGGAGGGAGGGCGCGGTCAACATCATGAGTGATATTTAACCCTCGCGCAGGAGCTTGCTGACCATGCCAATCCCGTGGGCGTCCACAGCGTCCTGGGACGCGGCGCTGATGACGTTCATAACGGCCTTTCCCACCACAACGGGTAGATGAAATGGGAGGACCGCATCATCGCGAGAACCAGGCTGCGTGGGGTGGATCATGGAGAGCTTCCACATCATAGCCTGCAGCCACTGCTGAGTGATGAGAATATCAACCTTCTGAATCTCTGACACCCCGTCAAGGGATACCGCTTTGCAGAGCCTAGACTGTATGGCAGCAGTGGGCGGAATTTCAGAGCAACTGTCCACGCCACCAGCCGAGATCCAATCGTAGAGATTGACAGTCAGTTTTTCGAAAACACTGATGAGATTGATGAATCCGTACGCGAGAATTGGATCTTCCGAGCAGAGAACTTGAGGTTTATGGATTGAGTTGCGTAGCATTACCGGCTTTGCCTGTTGAAGTGCATAGCCCCTGGCCATAAATCAGATCTGCCTTCTATCACTGCTGTGGAGTCATCATGGCTTACCTTTCTGTCACAAATAATAGCCAGAAAACCCTCCGCCGTTCCTCGGCTTCTTCAACACTCAATTCAGCGTATGTTGACTCGCGGTTGAGCCCTAAAGTAAAGACCATAGATGTAGCCTGGCACAGGTAAAACCATGCATGGTCCTGTTGGTCTAGGTTGCCGTACGAAGCAAAGAGGAAGAAGGATGTCAGAAGACTATCCATGTTCAGATCTTCCACTACATCGCAGTCTTTCCTCGCCTGCACAGCCTCGCACAGCAGCTCCTCTCCAGACATGCACGAGTGTCCTTCGGCTCCAGTGGGGAGATGCAAGGGATCAGGAACAGGTGATGTTCCGTCTAACTTGAGCTGGATATGCGTGGCCGCGCATAATGATGCCAGGAATGCATACCTCTGCGACGACAATAGCTCTAGACGATGACAGTCTCGCTGGAGCTCTTGCCTTCGCACAACTGGCATGATGGGGAATAAGTATTTCAAGTAAACGTTGACGTGGGCTAACAGTATTGGAGCAGTGAGACGCCTCAAATAGGGACGGATGATACCGTTTGTTGTGTCCGAGAGAGAATTTGTCGAGTCAGGCGATGAGACTAGCTCCGGGGGAGGGAGCTGCGTCAACGGTTCCAAGACATCATTAGGCAGGTATTGAGAGTCCGTCAAAGTGAAGGCTGGCGAAATTGGCGATCTTGCCAATGGATGAGCCACAGTACCAGGGGTCCATTGTTTTTCTTGAGGGTATTGTTGCGAGTGCTGGTGAAGGTTCCGTTGTTGGCGAAATACCAGCGGGTGGAGAGGCGCAAGTGGATAGATGGTACGAAATTTGGGGCCCTTGCGTCGGAGAACGTCACTGTAGGAACAAGAAAGCAGGAGACGCTGACACTTGTCGCATGGAAGCTCTCTAGAGCATTTGATCTTTCGGCGACGACAGTTATCGCAGGCTTGTTTGGAAGATTTAGGCTTAGTGGGGGAAGGATGCGAGTCCATTGGTTTGTGCGGACGGACTATGATCGGATCGCGGTGGAGATCAGCAGTGACGATGACAGTCTGTAGACATCGTCGCACGATCAGGAAAAGCGGTAGTACCAGAGGAAGGAAGATTTTTGGTCTCGAAGCGTCTCGCGGATCTAGAGACACATAAGGATCATGCGATGGCTGGAGAAGGGAGGGAAGTGGCAGTGAAGAGAGAAAATCTGGGGACGCAACAAGCGGGGGAAGGGAAACATGCAGTAGCGTGAGGCACGAGGTTGGCACGTCCACCAGGGTAGCCCGGACCCCGCGGTCCCAGACCCTCTGAAGGTTCTGCTAGTCAGTCGAACTAATTTCATCTCTTCCTTTCATCCACGGCTCTTAGTTGACGAGCTAAGTGTTTATTCACCAAATTCGCCTCCTAGGCCTCGACGGAATCGACAAGCAACCCCTTCTTCCACCAAGAACGATCGACAATGTTTTCTTCCGCCTAGTATGAACGGAAGACGAGAGTGTAGGCTATCAGCCCAATTCACAGAATAGACGCGGTAGTGCTTCTGCGCTGATGGACGACGGTCTGCCCTGCTCATCCACCTGTTGGGAAAGTTCGCCCGCGAAAAGCTTCGAGGAAATGCGTGCGCATAAAGCTGAAGAGCGACAAACCAAGGCTTCGGGTGCGTCATTTGCCGTCCAGCCCCTGCGGGTAATAAGAGTGTGCTTGTATACTGTAAGTCTTGCATGTGATGGGGAGTTCACAGTTGTATTGCTGGCTGTTTCTCCACACTCCGGATGCTTTCCCGCAGGTATTGGCTGTTATCTGTGAGGTGCCCTTCGGGAAACCGAGGGAAACACTGCGAGTTTGGAGGATGTTTCCAGGCGATCTGATAGTCTCTGCTCTTCTGCATGATCCCGTAATAGTCTCAGGGATCCTGCGTAAGATGTGTAAGGGCTAGACTTGATCTCCTTCGCTATGTAGGAAGCGATGTTCTGGTATGAATGACGATCAGTACCTTCACCGGTTGCTATTTGGGAAGTGGAAGCCGTGCTGAAGATATTGGCCGCACGGCTCGGATCTGAGTCAGGACTAGTGATGCCTGATGAGGTTCTCGCGCAACTGTAAGTCTGAGACCTTTAGCGAGCCTCAAGGATTGGTGAACGGAGCATGATGGAAGGGAAAGGATCGATGGCTTCAATTGTAGACTGGTTACTTTAGGTACTTCGCTTGGAGCGATGCCCCACGCCTTCGGGCAATTATCGGGAAATCGACCAATCGGAGTATGAATATCATGTGATAGTCTCGATGCCAGAAGCTTCAGGCCCCAGGACAAGCTGAGGTCCTTCCGCCCCCCGGTCTCTAACCGAGGGACCGCCAAGTAGTACCGCAAATCCCTTCCATTACAATAGACTTGTCCTGCCTTGTCTTCGCTCCCTTCTTCGGTCCTGGCATCATTTCTTGATTATCTAAACCTAGTACGACTCTTGGCTTGTCTTCCCCGCATACAACCTAACCTGCTGGAGATCCTCTAGGACAATCTAAGATGCGGGCCCGGTCCGCCCTTGCACCACGGGAATTCGACGGAGCAATATGTAGATGGCTTCTCTGCGGGGAACAACGCATTGTTGCACAGCACCGGATCCGTGTAGAATGTAAGTGTGGTGGTTGACTTTCGTCGTCTCCTCGCTACGAGCATTCAAATAGTACCTTTCAATCCGAATCTGTGGGGAAGCCCATCCGAGGGCACTCAGCTGCTTTCTCACAAATCAACTATAACACGACGACGGTCCTGGTCGCTTCCTTCCCACCATGGTCAATTCGATGAGATCACTGGTGGGCGCTTGGCTCATTCCTGTGATTACCGCACTGAGCCGATCGACCCTGCGCAGCACGTCTACATCCGCTTCGTCCGCGCAATTTACAATTCCGGCTGAAGCGGACATTGGGGCTCAGTTGATTGCCAACATCGACGATCCTCAAGCAGTCAATGCGCAGTCAGTATGTCCGGGTTACAAGGCTTCTGATGTGCAAGAGAACCTCCATGGCTTCATAGCGCGATTGGCGTTGGCCGGAGAACCTTGTGATGTTTATGGGACAGATGTCGATGCTTTAACCTTGACGGTGGATTACCAGGCATCCAGTCGACTAAATATCCAGATTCTTCCCACCTTTACCGACGCCGTCAACTCCTCCTGGTTTCTCCTGTCAGAAGAGTTCGTACCTAGGCCCGAGTCAGGTGGCGCAACCAATGCAAGTGACCTCATATTCTCCTGGTCCAATGAACCCTCTTTCAACTTCAAGGTCGTTCGCAAAGCTACCGGGGATGTCTTGTTTGATACTGAAGGCACCGTCTTAGTCTATGAGAATCAATTTATAGAGTTTTGTACTTCTCTACCTGAAGAGTACAACCTGTATGGTCTCGGCGAACATTTCAACCAGCTAAGGCTGCTCAAAGATGCGAATGTCACCATGTATACGGCGGATGTCGGAGATCCTATTGACAGGCGAGTTCATCGTGATCAAACAGCTCGGACCCCGCTAACTTGCCACCTTACAGCAATATCTATGGGCAACATCCGTTCTACCTTGATACGAGATATTTCAAGACCGGCAATTCCAGCGAACGAGCAAAGAGAAATGAATCCAATGCCTCGGGACAATACACCTCCCATTCGCACGGCGTATTTTTGAGAAACAGTCATGGGCAGGAGGTGCTTCTGCGATCTCAGAGATTGACTTGGCGGACTCTTGGAGGAGGCATCGACCTGACCTTCTACTCGGGGCCTACTCAGGCCGATGTAACCAAGCAGTACCAAATCAGCACGGTGGGCTTGCCGGCCATGCAGCAGTATAGCACCCTCGGCTTCCATCAATGTCGTTGGGGCTACAACAACTGGTCTGAGCTTGCAGAAGTTGTTGCTAATTTTGAGAGGTTCGAAATTCCTCTGGAATATATTTGGTCTGTCCTTCACTGCCCCTTTCTCGACTCGGATAACTGCTAATATGTTCAATCAGGACGGATATTGACTACATGCATGGATACCGTGATTTTGAAAATGACCAGCATCGCTTCTCTTACAGCGAGGGTGCAAAGTTCCTCAAGGACCTTCATGAGGGTGGGCGTTACTATGTACCAATCGTCGATGCCGCATTGTATATTCCAAATCCGGACAATGCCTCTGATGCGTGAGTTCCCTGCTCGACCTCTTGATGATCAGACCACTGCTAATTCGACGATTAGGTATGACACATATACGCGTGGCGCAGCAGCTGATGTTTTTATCAAAAATCCCGATGGTAGTCTATACATCGGTGCTGTCTGGCCGGGATATACTGTGTACCCCGACTGGCATCATCCGAACGCGACCGAATTCTGGTCCAACGAGCTTGTTCTATGGGCCAAGAATGTGGCATACGATGGTGTGTGGTACGATATGGCTGAAGTGTCTTCATTCTGTGTGGGCAGCTGTGGGAGCGGTAACCTCACGCTGAATCCGGTGCATCCGCCGTTCCTGCTACCTGGCGAGCCTGGAAATATCGTTTACGACTATCCAGAATATTTCAACGTGACGAACGCCACCGAAGCAGCCTCAGCTTCAGCTGGGGCTGCCAGTCAGACAACCTCAACTGGGTCCTCGCCATCCACTTCGACAGCCTACCTGCGGACGACGCCGACACCTGGTGTTCGCAATGTCAATTACCCGCCATATGTGATTAACCACGTGCAAACTGGTCACGACTTGAGTGTTCATGCTATTTCACCGAATTCTACTCACTCTGATGGTGTGCAGGAATATGACGTGCACAGTTTGTTTGGCCATCAAGGCCTCAATGCTACCTATCAAGGCCTGCTCAAGGTCTGGTCCGGCGAGCGGCGTCCCTTCATTATCGGACGCTCGACTTTTGCTGGCTCCGGCAAGTGGGCTGGTCACTGGGGCGGAGATAATATCTCAAAGTGGGGTTCCATGTATTTCTCGATAGCACAAGCGCTATCCTTCTCCTTGTTTGGCATCCCGATGTTTGGAGTGGATACTTGTGGTTTCAACGGAAATACGGACGAAGAGCTTTGCAATCGCTGGATGCAATTGTCTGCCTTCTTCCCTTTCTACCGCAATCACAATGTACTTTCTGCCATCCCGCAAGAACCATATCGATGGGCCTCAGTCATCGAAGCGTCGAAAGCCGCCATGCAAATTCGGTATGCTTTGCTGCCTTACTATTATACCCTGTTCCATCTCGCCCATACCACAGGATCTACAGTTATGCGGGCGCTGGCCTGGGAGTTTCCGAGTGACCCCACTTTAGCTGGCGTGGATACTCAGTTCCTCGTTGGCCCTTCCATCATGGCCATTCCTGTTCTCGAGCCGCAAGCCGATACGGTCAAAGGGGTCTTTCCCGGAGTGGCACATGGAGAAGTGTGGTATGACTGGTATACACGGACTGTCGTCAAAGCGGAGGCGGGCGCGAATACGACAATTTTGGCACCACTCAGCCACATCCCAGTTTATGTACGCGGTGGCAGTATCCTTCCTCTACAGGAGCCGGCATTGACTACTCGTGAGGCTCGCAACACCACTTGGTCCTTGCTGGCCGCACTTGGCAGTGACGGTACTGCATCGGGACAACTTTATCTCGATGACGGGGTGAGCGTTACCCCCAATGCGACGTTGAATGTTGACTTTGGGGCATCTCACTCAAGTCTGCACATCACCACAACGGGAAAGTGGAAAGAAGTTAATTCACTGGCGAATGTGACGGTGCTTGGAGTTAAGAAGGCATCCCCATTGGTGAAGTTCAACGGGAAACAGATGTCAACAGTCAACTATGACTCAACAGCGCACATCTTGTTTGTCGGTGGTCTGCAGGAAGTGACAAAGAGCGGTGCATGGGCTGAAGATTGGGTTCTAGAGTGGTGATTGCTAGTATTTCGTCTTTTGTATGATTGAGAAAGATAGCAACCCGTGACAAAAATGCACCTGAAATTATATTTTGAAGCAGCCCACGGTCGGGCAACAGACAGTTTACGCCGAGACTCGCGACAAACCTGTCCCATTAGTAGACGTCAACTCCTATGAAATGACCAATATTTGTGTAGTGATTGTGAAGGGAGCAGCAGCACATGGTGAAATCACCTGCCGCTGCCCGCGAGGGATTTCATATCCACCCCCTGACCGAACCTTCAAGTTCATTCAGATACTCATTCCAGCACAACAGCACCGAAGGATTCGGGCCCCAACACTCAAAGGTCCTCGGGCACTCCTCTAATCTCAGGCCCCAGCACAAGGATTCTTGTAGGAGGAGATGAAGGGTCCCGAGAAAGGTGAGCTACTGCATACCCACTTGCGCGGCTAGCACAAATCACAGTGTCGGCAAGGACCATGATGAAACAATGTCCGACTGACTCGACGCGGCAGTGCATGTTTCGGCGATGTATAAAGCCTGTCAACTCGATTTACTCAACGACTTGCCGTAAAACCTAGCAACTTGAAGCAACTTCCATCTTGTTTATCTTCCACAATGAACGTGATATTGTTGCTGTTTACGGTCGCGGCGACCGCATTGGCCGCTACTCCAGCTGATTGGCGCTCCCGTTCCATATATTTCCTGCTGACCGATCGATTCGCTCGTACAGACAATTCCACCACTGCTACTTGCGATACACGAGTTGGGGTATGATTTTGAGATAGTCAGGCAATATCATGCCAGGCCGTGCTGACCTACGTAGAAATACTGCGGTGGGACATGGCGCGGCATCATCAATCAGGTAAGACTATTCATGACTACTATACATTATCTCGATGACCTCGATGTGTCGCTCACTCGCTCCTGGCGTCGATCAGCTCGACTACATCCAGGGAATGGGCTTCTCAGCCATTTGGATTACCCCCGTCACAGCGCAGCTTCCACAAGACACTCCCTATGGTCAGGCGTATCATGGATACTGGCAACAGGACGCGTGAGTTTCCTCCTTTGAGTTTTCCTTGACGGTGTTTTTTTTATTTCTCTGTGCAGATACTCGCTCAATCCTCACTATGGGACTGCGGATGACCTCAAATCTCTGGCCTCAGCCCTTCACGCGCGGGGCATGTATCTCATGGTCGATGTCGTCGCCAATCACATGGTTTGTCAGCGCTTATGATTCTAGAGTGTGGCTTCGGGGGGCTCCACAATGCTGATGATGATGATGGTAAATAGGGCTACGATGGGGCAAGCAACTCAGTCGATTATAGCTTTTTCAACCCTTTCAACAAGCAAGAGTACTTCCATTCCTATTGTCCCATCACCGACTATGACAACCAAACCAATGTCCAAGACTGCTGGCTGGGAGACAACAAGGTTTCACTACCTGATCTTGACACAACCCGCAGTGATGTGCAAGTGATGTGGTATGACTGGGTTAAGTCATTCGTGTCAAACTACTCCAGTACGTCTCTCTCTTATCCTTCGAGGCATACCACGTATAATGCTCACGGTTCACTAGTCGATGGTCTTCGTATTGACACCGTCAGACACGTCCAGAAAGAGTTCTGGCCCGGCTACAATGAAGCCGCGGGCGTCTATTGCATCGGAGAAGTTCTCGATGGAGATGCTTCGTACACTTGCCCATACCAAAAGTATCTTGACGGGGTACTGAACTATCCTATGTGAGCGCCCTTCCTGAAACATCCTGATCGGGACTCTGAAGCTAAATGTGCAAATAAGGTACTATCCTCTCCTACGAGCATTCAAGTCGACCAGCGGTAGCATGGGCGATCTATACCACATGATAAACACGGTCAAAGACAATTGTCCGGACTCTACTCTGTTAGGAACATTCATTGAGAATCACGACAACCCGCGTTTCGCCTCGTAAGTCAACTCCGATCACGATTCGGCCACGGAAAGCATTGTTGCATGCCGCGGGAAAAGCTGCCCCGTGACGTAGCTGATGAGAATCCCCAAAAGCTACACGAAGGACATGTCTCTCGCCAAGAACGTGGCCGCATTCTCCATCCTCGCTGACGGAATTCCCATCATTTACGCCGGCCAGGAACAGCACTACAGTGGCGGCAGCGACCCTTTCAACCGCGAAGCCACCTGGTTGTCAGGCTATTCCACCAGCAGCCCACTATACAAGTTACTTGCGCGGGCCAACAAGATCCGTAGCCACGCGATCCGGCAAGATGCGAAGTATTTGACTTATAAGGTGCGCCTCGGCAGCCCACTTTTCCCTCGCCATTGACCCCTCTTCTGAACCCCATGTCTCATTTAGAACTATCCCATCTACAGCGACACCACCACTTTAGCCATGCGAAAGGGGTTCAATGGCACCCAACTCATTACGGTGCTCTCCAACTTGGGCAGCGGGGGCAAGGCATACACCCTCTCCTTGATGGGAACGGGCTATCGAGCTGGCACCAGAGTCACCGAGGTTTTTACCTGCACCACCCTGACAGTTAACGCAGATGGCTCGGTTCCCGTGCCGATGGCGAGTGGGCTACCGAGGGTGTTGTTCCCTACAGGCAAGTTGAGCGGAAGCGCGATCTGTATCTAGGCCCCATCGATTACCTCTCTTCCTTCCCAAGAGTTCTTCTGTTGCTTTTTCTTGTCTCATTTCTTGTCAAAGAGGCACCAAAAAAAAAAAAAAAAAAAAAAAAAACTCGAGACAGGCGCAGAATGAATGGTACTGGTATTTTGTCGTAATGTGTGATAGTGAATGTCGGGCATCATCAGTCAAGCCCCCGCAAAGCAAGTTAGGGGAACCTACGGAAAATGCAGGGCCAAGAATTGCCAGAGATCCAGCCAACCGTCCTGTTCTGAATGGCAAAAGAATCACTATACATTCCAAATAAAACATGACGCCAACCGTACAGCAGACATTGACTTTCACCCTACTCCTGCAAAAGGGTGGGGGAAGGGAGGGGAAGGAGGGCAAAAGCGAGGAGAGAATTTCAAAGCCTAGTAGACCATCTCAATCCTGCTTTTTCGGACTATTGATATCAGTACATATGAACATCGGCAGAACTAGACATGTATTAGTGTAGTTACAGGAAGTACACACTACACACGATAGCTAACGGATATCACGGAACGGACCGCAGGCCAAGGACCGACTTTCACCCCAGGGCTGTGGCATGTCAAGGCCGAAAACAAGACATAAGAAAAAAAGGGACATAAAGAATAAGAGAAGATAAGAAAAAGAAGAAAAGTGGCACGGCAGCATTCCAAGCCCTCGTGGAATGAGGTGACGTGGACCGGAGACTTGCAGTCAGGAACAGCCTGGAATCCAGGGGGAAAAACACCATATGGCGTCATGTTCCCCGGTTCTTATCGGATCTGAAAAGAGAATAGTATTGATTGGCTCAAAATCTCCTGTTTCGTCTTCTTAGCGCTGTCGACTTTTGTCAAGTTCTTCGAGGTTCGAGCGCTCGAACCCCTCCGCACGGACTAAAGTGGTACCTATATTCGGGCAAGAACTGGTTCAGTGTTGGTTTTCTATCTCTATCCCGAGTATTGTTGTGATGTATGTAGTAATGCAGGTCGGGGGATGGCTTAGTATTAACATTTTCTTTTTTGAATTTGTACGTCATGAGAAGTTTCATTATTAGCTTCCGGGGCCCGATTGCTAAAGTCCAGTCCAGCCCGTTCCCCTCCCTAGACTCGTCTGAGGACGAGTTGACGAGTTGGCCGACTGCAGCTAAAGTGTTGCTGATCTGTACCCTGGTATCCCGGCGACTGCCATCTCATTCAGCATACTTTCTCCCGGGAAAGATTGCGGAAGAACTTCTGGCATCAACTGCTCGAACCCGTACCCCTCGATCATGGTATCTACCATTGGGGGTAGAAACGGGGCCGTCTGTTCCATGCTCATTTTTCGTGTTTCTCCGAAGGATGACACCGGAGAAGAAGCCTTGGCTGCAGTGGCCGCTGCGGCGGCGGCCGCCGCCGCCGCGGTGGCCGGATCGCTGCTCTCTGCGCATCGCCGTTTGAATTCGACGATCATACAGGAAAATCGATAGGCAATATGATCTTCATTGGGAGATAGATGTAGCAGGAACATCTGCACCTGTTCGATGAGTGGATCCATGAGGTTGAAGTCGCAGAGGTTGAGGGCGGCGTAGCCGACCATGAAGTATACTTGGTCGACGAGGCTCAGGGCGCAGGTATATCGGATCTGAAGGAATTTGGACAAGACGAGGCGGGATGTTTGTAAGACCTCTGAAGCGAGGGTATCTGAGCTCGGGTTAAACCGCATAGCGGTGCGTTGAAGAAGAATTTGACAAAACCAGAGGCTTAGCTCGAGGGTGGACTGTTCGCCAGCTGAATTCGTTACCACGTTAGTTCTTACAGAGCCGACCTATTCTCACATAGATGCTCGACTTACCAAAGAGATGGGCCCATTCGGCCTTCCACCGCTCAAGTTCCTCAAATCTAGTATCAGCGACTCGCATCCGGGCGCCATTGCTCTGCAGTCGTAGCGTAAGCAAGTATAGCTGTATCTCCGCCACCATCTTTGCGTCGTCCAAAGTTGCGCCCGGGTGCTCGAGGATCCGAGGGCAATGGTCAAGATAGCGTTGCTGAATGTGGAAAGGACGAGCGTTGCCGACCGCAAAGCTATCGGTCATTAGCATTCAAGAACCAATCAATTGGGCTCCAGATTCCATACTGAAGCTGCGTCAAGCAGTAAGTATTCCATAAGCGCAGCTGTGTTGCGGTTTCGTTATCAATCATGGTCACCGTGGGCCCGTAGCTGAGACAGTCAAAGGCGATGATGGCATGATTGATTGAGACTCCACTTAACAGCCAGCTGTCCATCGGAGGCTCCTTCTGTACGGTAGCTGGCCAAAGGCAAAGCAGCGCGAGTGCTTGGAGCGACTCGTAGCGAAGCGGCGGCTTATCCCACAGAAGATTTACCACCGCATGGCGTACATGAAGGTATAATGCATGAACCACAGATGTGGGAACGCCCGGAACATAGCGGGAGGCTAAAAGACACGCAGTATTATATAGCAAGGAATCAGGATTTCTGGCCTCAACCTGTATATCGGAAAGATTATATATGGAGACATAAGGGCCAAAATTGTCCACAAATCTTCACTCACAGTATCAGTAAAGTCCAAGAGCGAAGGGAATAGAGCAGAAGTCCATACAGTTGGAGCAATTTGAGCGATAATTTAGAGTCTAGGCCGCCCTTTGCAACGCTCTCTCTCAAGTAGGACGAGTTTTCGGCCTCGCCAAAGAACTCTGATTGTAGGTCTTGGATGAGCCGAACAGGCTTCGGCAGGAAAGGAGAAGATGGACTGCCTTCTGATGACGTGCCATCATCGGCATTGGTACCTCTGGTCCAATACGAGGGAATAGCGGTGGGAGTCGCTGGGGCTTGGTCCAGCATTTGGCGCATCATACTTGTCATCTCTCTCATGCTCCTTTCGAGCGATGTCAGACGCTCCTCGATAGAAGGGATCGCGGACGTCGCATCCGACCACATCGAGGCATTATCTTGGAAGCGGTCGGTTGTCTCCGGTAATTTGCAGTCGATCCTGTAGGAATTGACCCATGTCAGTCGTCGAAAGCTCTTCAGATGAAGGTGGTGATCTGCTGCTGACCTTAATGATAGGCAGCGCCGACATGCATGGCCACGCGGATCCAAATCGCATCGGGTTTTAAGCTTCCGACAGGTATGGCAAGCTGTCATCGACCGTCGTATGCGTCCTTTGGGACGGACAGCATCGGCATTGGACGTCAGTCGCCGGCCATCGTCGGAGACAGTGACGCCTTTATGCTCCCATGAGGAAACCTCATACTTGATCTCGTCGGTGGTTCGAGTCATGACCTTTAACGGAGCACCGTGGTTGGCCAATTTATGGGCAAGAAAATTGATTTGCGATACAAAAAGACAGTTGAGGGAGAAACGAGGGAATTACGCGCGGGCCATCGAGCAGGGCCGGTGGAGAGAGGGGGAGGAGAAAGATCGGCCTTTTTAACAGTGGGCAAACCAAGGCTGGAAATGCGATTGTTTCTCGCTTGCTGCGAATTGACGACAGATGGATTGTTAAATTGGTTATGGGGCCCGCTCCAGTCCGGCCTTGACCTGGGGTAAACGCTAAGTGGCGGAAGTAAGTGCGACCGGCCAATCCATGACCCTGCAGGTCTTCTAGAAGACAAAAAGCAAACCGATGGGTCGCAAGGATATTCACTACCTACTACATACTAGACCGAGAGACAGGGAGGGGGTGATTGGCAAGCGCTATGATACTCTCCTACCGTGCACTTCCGACGTAAACCGGATTCAAAGTAAATTCCGCTTCTTTGAGAGGGGTTGGGTTGTGCTTGTTGGCGCCAGTGGGAAATTAAGACAGGCCCCTCAAAGTCCGATGATTTGTTCGGCGGCGGTCCTTATCAACTACCCATAATCGGTCTCGGACGGAATTCCAGGATAAGAAGGTGAGTATCTTTCCCGGGGTTCAAATGCCTTGGATAACCATCACCATGCAGATTCCTTCATCATGAGCTGACCCCTGTGTTTTACCGACTTCATAGACCATGATCTCTAACCCCTCTCCCCATAAAGAAAAAGCCGCGAATGGTCGATGATCGCAAAAGCCAAGCCACTGATGTCGATCGCGGGGCCAGCGGATCATCCAAGGTAACTTTATGGCACCAAAGCCATACACAGTACAGTGGCCTTTTCAGCTCGTTTGATAGGTCTCTGAAAAGTGACTTCGCTGCAATGCAACAGTGAGCACCTGCCAGAGCGGCTACCAGCGGATATCCTCTTGTGAAAATGGCAACGCTATAGTTAGAGCTAGCGCGTTCCTGTTCATGACAGTGACTAGTAGGTCTGCAGCCAACAAAGTATATTCAATGCAGGTTCGTCGGTGATGATATCAGGGCGCCCAGGTTCATTTTCTGGTAGCGCATCCCGTGGAGTTTCCTCGGGATTGATTCGAGCCACCAGGAGCATGGTGGAACTTCTCCATGGCCCAATCAAGCCACTGTAGACTGTGCGAGTGTCCAAGAATCATACTATGCACTGCTCTTATCACATCATCTCTGGTCCTGAGTGAACAATCCGGCGTCAAGGGGGCCATAATCTGGCCATAATCGACAGGCACCCGAGTTAAGGCCACCAGCTGTGTGGGTCCTAGTGCGGTGGAGCTTGTGTTGTCTGTTTAAGGCTTGTCTTGGAGTGAGCCCGTGACCACAGGACCGTGGCAGCCGGGCACGACTTCGACTGGATTCGACAACATCTCCCCACGCTTTCCTGACCCAGTTTCGAGGCTGATGACTTGCGGCTGGTAAGAGTAGCTGTCATCGCAATTCGACTCCAGAAGGTCAAGGAGTCTGCCATCGGGGGGAAAACAAGAGAAGCCTCTCATGATGTGCTTTGCGCGCTGTCAAGCATCAGCTAGCGACAATTGTGCCTCGGCCTCACGGGCCGTAGACCCTTTTTGGATTGGGGCGCATCGGCTCGCAGCGCCAGTTCTATAGCGAAAGGCGCGATTCAGCCAACCACCGCCGCTACCACAGTCTTCCGGTTATTCTGAGACCCATCTCGCTTGCAGACCCCGACAAAAGTCAATTGCCAGAAAACAACAAGCGGGGACGGGACGAAAAAGAATACTCGAAAACAATTTAGCCAAAGGCTCCGTCGCAATTGAACAATGGGTGGGGGAGATAGTCGAGCAACAACTTTCGCCTCTTCTCTTTCAGTCTTTCTTGAGTCGACCCAGATAATCCAGTAAGAAAGCCCAAGCAATTCCATCAACGCTGGTCGGCTAAGCCAAGTCCGGAACTAGACGTTCTCCACTGACTAGATAATGTGGTTGCATCTGACTCCATGTCTCACATGCTATCAGTCGACTTGAGAAAAATAGATGATAATGTGTCAGTAGTTTAACGTTAAGATTGATGGAATCCAAGGCCGATAACTTCAGATATGAGGCATTTAATCGCTCAGTCTATTGCACCGAGAGATCCGCAGTCTTAGGTCCTCAAACGTGTAAGTTAGGATCTCATGCTTATCGAACCGTACCTGTCCGCGGTTATGTTGAAATGGCCCATCGGGCTGATATTCTAACCGTCGCCACTTTTTCCTTGGCAGGCTTCGGTCATTGCCGATAATTCTCATGGCTACTCCGGTAATCGCTGGTATACGAAATTCAGCTGCCAGTTGGGTATTCGGATTCCAGACGGCCCAAGGTCAATCCCACCGAGTAGTCAAACCCCGCCAATGGCCCTGGAAAAGCTAAGTATGGCAGAAACATGAACGATCGGCACAGCAGGTAATGACCCGATCGCGACCTCCGGGACGAGTGACCATCGTCATGATTTAGACTGAAGCTGAGAATTGGGAAGCTATATTCAAGGCGAGCGCCGTCGAGGAGCGCAAGAAGAGTCGTACCAGAGGAAGTCGAAGAGGCCGACTGCACGCATGGGAGTCGAGACGCATGATGCGATTGTCGCCGAAAATTGTTGGAGATGTTGAGCTGAGCCTAAGCTGAGCCTGAGCTCCAGCCAGAAAGCACCTTCCTCATCGGGAATAGAAGGCACATGACCGACACCGTGTTTGTTTGCTTGTTTGTTTTGCCTCCATTCAGGTCGTGCAGAAGATGGAGGAAATCAGAATCCATCCTGACAACTTTCTGGCCACTTCAATGTCAGCGGTCACTGGCGCTGTGTCCGTTATTTATAACCAGAACACTGGACCGAACGTCTTCAATGCACTGGTCCCAGCAATGGAAAAACTCATGTAATGGCTTCTCACTCGAGAGCGCGGCAACCGTCGGCGCAGCGGCAAGCAGCGGGATTCAGTCGCTCTGGGTGGAGAGAGATGTGTACGTCCAGGCCGGACCACACCTTCAGATGCAACCATCTATACTATAGCCCCTTGCTGGCTCCATTCTGGAAAGCTCCACGTGGGCATAAGTCCGTAATTCGCGCTTTGTCTTGGAACGAGGCTCAAAATGCAAGGCCAGGTGCTGGCATCCACTGCTTTCAGCCTTCTGTTGCTTCACTTCATCAGCCGGAGTCGAGATATCTAACTACTTGTTGGTTTTAATACTTAGTCAACGCAACCAATGACAGCCGTGCCATTATTGTACAGCAGTACTACTCACCTGGTGATAGAGTGACTACCTTAGGGTTCGGGATTGGCCCTCCGAAGGGGCATAGTAGGAGATCTTTGGACCATCACTACTAACCCCTTCAACGTCGAAGAGTCACAAATCATGCGCCATCATCCGGTGCAGAGACGAAAGGAAGGAGAATTTATAATATCTAGCCGAACCTTAGACGGTCCACCACCACAGACATTTACACCCCCAACAGCGCCGATGCCGGACGTCCCGAGATTAGGTGGCTCCAATGATAGACGGGAACACGGTTTGCTTGCAGAAAACCACCTCGCTCCTCTCCAGTCTCATTGGGTCAAGTCTACTGCTTACTTCACAGTCCCGAGCAAGGTCAACCAAGTCTAAGTCCGGTAAAGGAGTCGGACGTCCACCGGCTGAACCATCTACTTGATCATGTGGCCATATTTTCTGCATCACTAATTAAGCTGGTGGCCATGGTCTCGCACACGGCAGCAAAGACACACAGACGATATCATTTATTCTGTCTTATAAGCCTTTGCTACTGGCCGGAGTCGCCATTCGCAGGGCAACCTAGATCGTGATTCGAACATCCGCTAGATGCCCGTTTCAACCAGTATACCGAGTAATGCACCCGGCCTAAAGTGTTCGTGTCGTGGTATCGTGCTGGTATTGCTTAAGTACCTACTCGTACAGAGGCCTTCCTTGTCAGCCAGTCTCCTGACTAAGTGCAACTTCCTGGTCCTCCGGTCTTCTGTTGACGCATATTCCGGTATGCGTCAGGGATCTGTGCGGCCGTGCTCCGATAAGGCCTCAGAGGCACATCACTTGAATAGCAGGGACCTGGCGAGGGTATCAGACGAATAGGTACCACACTGTGCAGCTCAAGCCCAATTCCAAATCATTTGTATCTACGAAGTAGGTCCGCAGCAGGCATATGCGCAGGTCGGTCGATGCTATGATTTGTATACTTGGCGGAATTGCGGATTCTCGAACAAGGAAATGTGTGCATCTGCCGGTTCTATTCCGGCCGGTTACGTTACATTGAACATATGCTTGCTTAGGAGGTGATATGTAAGCAGTGATCAGTAAATATTTAGATCACATACATCATACCAGCCCCACGAGTCACACGACGAGCTGACGAGGTCTCCATGACACCTGTGCTTCAGTCAATTTCGTTCGAAGAAGATAAATTGGTGGCATGGCAATAAGTCTGAGAGCATAGCCCATGGAAGCTTTTGCCGATTATCTCACACTTCAAGATCGAAGTCTTCTAACAGTCATGACATACCTAGCAGTCTAACTATACCTCGCTCGTAGATTCGAGTAAGCTCCCATGTTACTTCAAAAGCAGCATGATTAGCTAGGAAGCCCCGGCTCTCCGTACTGCGTCATGAGACTTCAGATGCAAGCCACTACGTTCCAGCCAGTTTGTAATCATAATTTAGCGCTTATAGATTACTAGCATGTACAGTAACCTGGCGATGGTAACACCGTCTCGCGATCACATTGCATTATAATATGACAAGCCACGGGGATAACACAATACCTTTTTGCCGCACATCCAAGTCCTTGCACCGGCACCTGCCCTTTCTTCATGTCACGATCTTGCCGATCTGTGTTCATCAGCCTTAGGTTCACCTCGTGTCTCCTTAAAAAATAATCCTCTCCGACGAGAGACGACCTGCTCGGATCATGCCAGTGAGCTTTGGAACTTGCGAGCATGGACTGTCATCTCGTTTTCATCAATAGACAGACGAACAGTACGGATGGCGGAAGTACATCCAGTAGACTAGCCAACCTGGGACTACCCGATCTGCAATCCAAGCTCAGACGTCTATTATCATGATACTCCCCGTCCTGATAATGTAGTATCGTCAAGTCCGCCCCCGCCCCCGCCCCCGACTTCGGAGTTGAAGTCCCAAAGAGGGGAAGAAGGAAATGGTTGCGGGGGTTCTGCAGAAAATGGTAATAGTTTTGGTAAGGCCGTGTTTGTTTCAGGGAAGTCATAGCCGGTTGCCAGGTCCTGACACTTTTATAGCTACAGCAACATAAGACAAGTCTCAGCATGTTCCTTCCTTTGATCTTCGACACCCGGTAGACACTCTCTCTGGTAGTTTCATCTCTCCATGACCGCCTTTGCTGGTCACTCAAATCGAAATCGAGTCACTATCACTTACACACTCTGGATATGATATCTTGGCACTGATTATTACACTCGCCTCAGTACCCTGGTCTAACCCCGCTTTCTCACCAGCAATGTACTTTCCACTGAACTTTTGTCACCAAGCGGACACGGAATCACAATTGAGGATGAGAACTGTGACCTTTGTTTATACTGACCGTCACCATCATTACGTGAACCCCTCTATATCTCACATTTCCCTTCTCTGCTGCAAAAGCATGAGGTAAGTCAATCAGAATTATAGCGATGGGCGGGTAGGGGAACCTGCTGCACGGCGGCGAAGAATGTCTTTTGGAAGTCATTCTGGATCCATCTCTTCACCAGAGCCACACAGAAGAACAGATTCTCGGCTTGCGGATTCTCGCCGGTCATCTGAATTTGGATGACATATCACACTCTCAGTGGATCGTTCTATGCTACAGTGGTGAAAGGAAAATGAATGGTGGAGCATGCTCTCGTGCCTCGCCAGGACAGCTGGTCTGCTTGATGATATGCTTTCATTGCTAAAAGTTTGGGCTAGGCCTGAATCAGAGGGGGGCTACTACTTGGAGGGCTCACTCTATCGATAAGACATACCAACATTGATATAGTGCTTGACTGCGTGATCTCAAACTCCTGAGCAGCATGCGTCAGGACAAGAGGCTCATAATCTCCGTAACCCAAATTGTAGGTTTGTCACTAGCTATATCTTCTCATTGCAAGCCATGGGGCAGTCCAGTCGAACTCAGTCGAGGATGGTGGCGCTACTGTTCTCAGGCGCAGCACAATGCTATGGCTTTCATTCAGTTTTCAGAGACCTAGCCTGAGAGTCTGGTTCGGGCGATAAGCTTGCTTGTATATCTGAGTGATCAAGTCTCCGTCAGATCGATATTCTGCTATCTACTCCATTATACAGCCACGAAGTTACGGGCTGAGTGCAACTACAATCCTGTAACATAGCGGAAAAGGGAGTGGAGTAGCGGTAGTTTATAAACTAGTGGCGAAATAGTTATAACCTGATTTGGAAAATGTAAACAGTGATAAACGGTATTTCTGGAGGTTTTTTGTGATTTAGTTCCTTTTTGATAGTATATCTATTATGACAATGAACAACAACTGTTGATACCTGGTGGTCAGTATAACAACTAGTATAGATGATAAAGTCTATTTCTATGATATAGCTGTATATGTATATTTATCTAACTAAACTATTCATCATATGTAACTGGCAAAAACTTGTATAGAAGTAGATTGCCACTATATATAATTATTATCCCAAACTTGAATGTGCTAAATACGACTACAGTCGACAATTACCAACCGTCATGAATGGTTGTCAATGGGTTGCTAACTAGTATTTAACTACTATCAATTGTTGCATTAGGTTCACGATGAGGAGTGTGAGGCTGCTACCAGACCCCTTTTTTCCACCACGATGAAATCAACTCTGATCGCCAGTACATATGACAGATGTCTTTCGACCATTTCAAATCGTTGACTTATGTATCACACACATTACAACACATATACTAACAAAAGATCTCAGATATTTCGATGCTCCACCTTAATAGTTCATCAAAAGTACTAACCACCCGGTCTTTAGTCCCGTGCAGTCCTATCCGCAATCCTTACTCATTGAAAGCAGAGGAAGTGATTCTGAGGGAACACAGGCAAGGGAGCAACAGCGTAGTGACATGGAACTTCAAATAAATACGACAGAACAGACATACATACATGCATACATACCGACATAAGGAGGCAGCGCGTACATGATGTCCTTGAAATCTGCGCTACATGGATGGCATTCCCAGGATCACCGAAATCTCCTCTTCTCCACACGCACACCATAGTGCGTGGGTTGGCAAGAGCAAGCTTCAAGTGTAAAGCTAAGGAGGAATAGGTGAACCAATTATGGCATTAAAGAAAATGATGGGAGCAAGACAAAGCCGCTCCGTCTCCCATTCTGGGATGTTGTCACACTCCACCCCTACTAAGTTTACCTAGTCATGTTGTGCTACGTGGTATACAATGTCAAAAGATTTGAGATTGGACTGACCCAATGCTGACATGCGGGGGAAAGCGGATAAGGCAAGAGGGTAAGTACGGGGTGAAACAACCTAGTCAATGTAAGCTACGGGATCGGACAGGCTGCTGGTTTACATGAAGTTCTCTGGGAAATCAAGAAAGCTCCATGCTTAGTAGCTATATACATATACTTAGACATACATATGCATAATATGTACAGCTGTTCAGACCCAAAGTAAGAAACATCGTGGCGAATTGAAGACACAGTATCGTTCGGGCAGTCGTTTATGTTGTCAATAATGTCGACTGGCAGCTGGAACAACCGCCGACATCAATGATTGGTGCAAAGCAGGGAATAAGGAATCGCGGACAAAACTTTAAGAGGGGTTTGAAGTTGGGCAGATAAGGATAGATCGTGATCACCAGTTTTACTGACTTGCATATGCTTACTACCCTTTGGCAACCCCTGTCAAGGTGTCTCTGGAAATCGATTTCCAGAGAGGAACGGAAGTGCCGCAAGTGGAAAATGGATCTTGTCTCATGCAAACGCTCACGCGCCCCCCCCCCACTCCCTGCCACCCCTTCTCCTCTGTCTAAGCGAACCATATCAAGGCTCGAGTACGTGGTCGGAAAACTGCTTGAAACGGTGGGGACTAATAAGATCTTTGATTAATTTAAGCATTTAGGCAACTCGATATGCATATGCTCTGACAGGATGTCAGGCTCCGGTGATCAATCAAGTGGTACTAACATGATCACAAGGTCAAAGACGCCTTAGGGGGAGGTGGCCCTAAAGCAATATCTTAAAACAAGGATGGCGTGCATTGACATTCACACGTACAAATCCTCCGCACATAGTTTCATGCAAGCTGACCTCGACCCCCTCCGGCGATACCCCTTGGAGGATAAGGTGACAGAGTGGTTGTGTGGCTAGAAGCTGTGGCGAGGCGAAACAAAATACCTGGAGCATGTCCTTACTGAGTGAGCGAGTGCGGTGAAAGTGATGGGTAGTGGTTTGAAGCGTGTCGGGCGGCTGTCTTCACCCTGACCAAAAGAGTATGCATAATAGGTCAGAGCGATCGTGGTCACAGAGAGCTCCTTACCGACTCCTACTACCTTGCAGCGAACGATTAAATGACTGGCTGTACAAAATATCTAAGGGTAATAGCCAGGGATGAAGCCTGGCGGACTTGCTCGGCGATTTTACTCCGTCAAGAACCGTCACAAAGGCAGCAACAACAGAACCGGCAGTCAAGCCTAGGTCAATCCCTCTTCTAGACACGACAGCACGACTCCACTCAAGAGGAAAGGGAGATCTGATGCAAGAAAGTGGATTGCAGATGGACCGATTTCCAGGTTCTCTCTGATTGCAACGGGGACGGGTTAGGAATTCTAAGGACGCCCTGACGGATTCCCTCGTCCAACTATGTTTGGCGGCTGGATGCCAGGTGCGAACAAACCATGTATGCTAAACCACTGACTTCCTTTCAGATCATGGGATGACCCCGCAATCGCATGATGAGACCTCCTACTGTCATGCAATACCACGTCGTATTTTCTTCATAGATGGTCCCATGCATTTTAAGCGTGCCGTTGAGCTGGCATGCCCAGGCAGGCTGAAAATACTTAAACTAAAAAAAATATGTAGTACTTATGTACCAGTATGTCCGTACGGAGAACGGAGTACATTCCTGTCACTTTCCAATCGATACAATAAGTATTGCTGTCTGTCTTTCTGCACATTTCCCTTGACCCAGAGGTCCGATCGCCCTCCCTTTCTTCCCTCTCCCCTCGCATTGATGGTGACATCTAAACAGCCTGGGATCCCCATGCACATCGGTCAGATTCACCGCCATGTGATAGATCGGATCAAATCCCGATTTCCCACTCACCTTTCCACTGCGCAGTACCCTACTATCCCTCACTTTCTGCTTCATCGCATACTTTCCTCTTCTCTCCCCCTCGCGGCCCCGTGCTGTACTATGCAGCAACTCGGTCGGCATCGTTCCCCACTCCGCTCTTTCGGCCTTAAATCCCGCCATATCAGAATGCCCTAAATTGCTAGTAGTATGGTCTCTGCTTTTCCACACATGCCACCCCGGGCCTTCATTCCGCCCAGTCCCGGGGGGGAGCAGCGGTGGCAGAGGGAAACCTGTACTGTTTATACTTCATGTAGGTAGAAATCTTCCTGCATACCCTCTGTCGCCCTCCTCCCCCTCTTTGGCTGTTTTAGCGACCGTTGCGATCGAAAATTCCTCAACCATCCCATCTCATTACCAAGTTCAAATATGCTTCCATGGAAAGCGCAACGGGCTAAAAAAGATAAACCTTATGAGAAGGAAAGAGAGAATGTAAGGCTAGATGGATAGATAGGAATTCGGAAAATGGGGAATAATAAGAACAAACCGCTGAAAATGATTACAAAAACCAAGGAACGCTACAAAAAAACATATTAGCTTCTCAAGGGAATGAGAGAGAGAGAGAGTAGAGTATAGTCTGCCAACACTCAGTGAACTCTGGAAAATATTGATCTCCTTTGGACTCAGAAGCTCAAAAAAAAGCAAGAAGCCAGAGTGAATAGCGCTGCAATCGCACCAACCCTTCTGTCCTCGACCAAGTGACTTGACTGCCATCACTGCCATCCGCAAAAGAAGCAAAGAAAAGCTCCCTTCCCCCTCCTTTCTCATAAAGCACACAACGCACGCACGCATGCATACATGCATGCACTGCACACCTCTCGCCCTACCGGAAATACCCAGCTGGCCCAAGGGGTACGGAGTACACATACAAACAAGATCATAAAGAGAGAGAGAGAGGAGCGCACGCACACAAAGTTCACCCGTACGCTTGGTCCTTCCCCCGCCCCGCTTCCCTTTCTCTCCAGTATCTGTACCTAACCATCATGATTTATGTATGAGCCCTAAAAGAGTGAATCAACAAAAGTCGCGGTATGAGATTAAGGTCTATAGGCGATTGAAACGACGGAGAGGGAACATGGACTAATAGAAGAATTTCACTCAATGGTAACCTTTCTTGAGATCGGAATAAGTTCCCACAATTGGGGTTGAGGAGCCTCTGCATTATACCTACTAGGCTTTCACTATGAGTCCGGATCATCAACTAGACTACACGTCTCGAGCAGTTGGTAGGTATTGAAGTATGTACTGTGGTATGTTTGTGTTAGGGCAGGGGCAGTAACAAGTATACACCACCTATTTCCTCCTCGTTCCCATCCGTGCCGCTCGGTCGGTCGGTCGGTCGGTCGGTAGATCTATCCGTCCCGACTGGCTGGAACCAAATTCAGGGCTTGATTGGACTGGCGCCTGGGCGAATTTAAATGCGACTTACAGTACCTTTACCTTAAATCGGTTAACTATTCCCTCTCTTCAAAGACAGAGCAGGAACTCCCAAACTAGAAAAATGACGAAAGAAAGAAGAAAAGAGAACTTAAGTGAGGAGAATAATGAAAAGAGACCAGATTCAGGATACCATACTATACTCAAGATTGTTCAATGGGAAATGGTAAAGGGGATGCTGTGACGTGTGACAGCATGAGAAGGTTTGCCTGAACACATTCATGTTGATAGGCTGTTGCTTTCTGAACCTGTTGATTTTTTTTTTTCAAACACACACCGCAAGTACTGTAAGCTCGAAGGTTATTTCCAGATTGGATTGATCTTGATGATGATACTCGCAGTGTCACCTGGCACTCATTTGTTCCCCTTCTCTTCTTGCACCTGTGATTTGTACTCTTGACGTATATCATCCAGGGGCGAAGACAACGATGCAGCAATTTCTGTTTTTCCTTTTTTCCTTTTGTCCCCCCACCCCACTTTTGTTTTTCTTATCTTCTCTTCTTTTTGGTCGTGCCGTGTTACTGAGAGGTGGGAAATACTTCCTTCCGCCAATGATCAATCGAGTTTCTATCCATAGCGAAAAAACCACGCCGGTACAGGTTCCGGTAATGGGAGATCGTTGGGCCGAGGAACGCCAGTTATGCAACAAAATGCGTGCCGCCGGATGCGAAATTTGGAATACTGAACCATGGTTCGGCGGGGACAATTATAGCCACCGAGGAAAAGAAAGCCGAAAAACATATTTTGGTGCTTGGAAAGTTTTCTCCTTGGGAGTATCGGTGACACAAGGAACCCAACCAAGCATGCTATCATTCTGTTCCTGGACAAATGAAACAAGGATGAACTTAAAGGAAAAAGGCTCACTGTTTAAAGCAAGGTAGTAGTTCAATAGTTGAATTTGCCTCTTATGGGTCTTGCTATCGTCAACCCTTCTCAGTTTTTTTTCGAAAGTCTAGAGCGGGAATCATGCAATGAGAATCGTGAAAAGGAAAAACAACCGTGGGAATGACAGCAACACGAAACAAGGGAAAGTATTAATAGGCAAAGTGAAAAAGAAAAGCCCCAGTCTAACTTGACATGATCGCGTCATCCATGTACTGTACAAGATCATTTGGATTCTTATCCAAGGTGTGAAAAGTCCAAACATAACCCAAAATAGCCCTGATGCCTAAGTGCGTAGAAAGAGTTGTCTAATGTAAGTTTGAGAAAGAGAACTCTTTAAAAGTGCCAACCTGAACGTGATAAACGCAAAGCAAACGCCTCAAGATGCGAATTTGTGATCAATGAGCAAAACAGGGACAGGAGGTGACGCCAATGCTGGGTGAACGTCAATCATGTGCTCCCCAGTGTGGAATTACCCCGTGTATCGGAATCATGCAAAGTATTGTAAGTGGATTATGAGGCGTTAAAGGGTATCAAGAGTGGTCTTGTAAACCTCACTCGGCTCGGCTCGTAGATTCAGTAATATATCAGAGAGTATAAAGATGGAAAGAGAACAACTGTCGGCAAAATCTCATGTCGATTCGAATTTCAATGTCGGAGGGACTCCGTAAACTCGTGACGTAGCAGATGTGTTTCGTGGCAAATGTGACTAAAGGTCGTAACGATAGACTCCTGTCCGTATTTATTTGGGTCGCAACATTTCAGTGCTTCGTACCCATGTGCGGAGACGGCATGGACTCGGGTGACGTGTGTTCCACGTCGCTGAAAGGAGACTGTCTTTGTGAATCAAGCTCGTTACCACCGTTGCGCATTTGATTTCGAAGTGCAGGGAGTTGTCGCCGCCTTGCATTGATAAACCAGTTGCTTATCTGAAGAAAAGAATGAGCAAATCATGTCCACTGTAGATCAAGGGGACGGCATAAACTTACCTGACTAATCGTCAGGCCAGTACGAGTCATGAACATCTGCTTGTCCTCCTCACTCGGATATGGGTGGTCAAGGTGCTCGTGGAACCAAGCGCGCAGAATATCCGTCACCGGCTTCGGCAAATTCCCCCGTCTGCGCTTGTTCTTGGGGTCGATCGGATCGCCAAGAATGCCAAAGTTGGATTGCTGGGCATGTGATAACGACTGCGGGGTGACTTGCTCTGAATCGCTCTGGTAAGCCATCGTGGGGTACGGGTATGCGACCTGGTTGGGCAACGAATGCGGCCCAGCGGCTCCCATAAACGAATCTGTACTCCTCCGATCACCCAAATGGCCAGAGATATTCGTCGAAGAGAATCCGTGGCCGCTCATAGGCCCGGTGCGAAAGTCTTGTGCCGCATATTCGGGTCGCGACAGACCCCTTGATTCCGAGAATGCAGCCGAGGAAGGAGACATGCCCCGTTCAGGCAGTGACTGAAGATCGCGGATCGACGGCAGAATAGGACTCGGACCGCGCGAGGTGAACAAAGTCGAGGCAGGTGCGGGCTGAGGCGGGTTTGCAGCTAGGCGGCTATGAAGGGGGCTGTTGTCGCGTCCAATTGACTCACTGATGCGGAAGTCGTCTGCCAATGGTAGTTTGGAAGGAGTGGCATAAGGCAGGCGATCGGACAGAGATCGGGACGTTGGCGTCAGATCGAAACTGGCTGAAAGGGGTCTCTCGCGTGTGTGTGGGTGCTGGCGGGAGGAGAAATATGATGTCGACTCAATTTCGTCGTGAAGATGAGGAGGAAGAAGCTGCAGGGGGGAATCCAGGCGATGTCAGTCTATATACTAGCTTTCAACAAGGCAGAATATGAATAGTCGACTCACCTCGCGAAAGGAAGGGAGGGCTGGAGTATGATCGGCTGTCATTCCACTAGCATATGAGATAGCCATTCTTCCAGTAGAACCCTCGCCCAGATCACGATACTGGGACATAGACTGCAAAGAACTGAAAATGGCAGTGGCAATATTCGAAACACGATGTGACTATCCGCTAGCGCAGAGACAGACAAGACAACGTTATATCCAGCCGCCTGCGGCTTTTTAGACAATTCTGGGGAATTTTATTAAGCCGACGAGGTTCCGGTGTGCCAAGTTTCTTTTATGCTGATCGAGAGGGCGAACAGAAGGGATAGAAGGCTGATCTAGCCAAGGTGGATTGAAATGAGTGGTGGTGGGGTGAGTGGAATGAGAAGGACAGAGAAGTGGAGGAAAAGGAGGGGTGGGAGAGAGAGGGGAGAGTGGATTAAAAAGGATAGATAAAGAATTGAAGAGGGAAGGGAGGGATGTTTGTGAGGATTAGTTGATTCTGAATATTGGTATGAATGCAACCTTGCTGATGTTAGTAGTGGGAGGTGAGAGATATACGGGCGAGATAGAATAGTAATATAGTTACCAAGGCCTGAATCTAAAAGTACCTTGACATTGCCGCACACGATGACGATGGAGACAGCTGAACCAAGGTTATGCAAGGTAAGGAGTGAGGCAGCTCAACAATTGGATCTGGGCTGGGTGGACACCAGATCTCTTTTCTCGAGGTTGTCGGGGTTAGATAATTCATTTTTGAATTTTGTTTTTATTATATTTTATTTTCATCCGTTCTTGCTCTAGTTTCGGTTTTAGATTTTCTTTTCCTTTTCCTTTTTTTTTTTCTCTTCCTTCTTCAATCCCCACCTCCTTCCTTCCCTTTTCTTTCCTTTCCGTCTTTACCCTTTTCTATCTCTCTTTTTTCTTTTTTCTTTTTGTCTTTTTTTTTTTTCTGCAGTGCCCTTTTGAAATGAATTCCTACCACAGTAGCCAGATTTTGATCTTGTCTAAGTCCTAATTCGATACATTTCCTCTAGTGTTTGCTTCGTACCTCTCCAACGTGGACACTCCTCTCACCTTCCTCTCTCTATCAAAAATCTGTACACTGATAAAAACGCTGCTGTATCTATATGCGTAGTCTTCAAGATACTGCAGAGACTCTCATATCAAATACCATGAGCCGCCCCTTTCCACATCACATCCACTTGTATGAGAGATGTATGCCAGGCACGGCCAAATGATATAGGACAAGAGATTGTTAACTATACGGAGAGGGTTCGATCAGCCTCTAGGTCACATTATGCGCATCATCTGCGCGTAGCTATTACGACTGAGCCATGATCATTAACCACGATAAATGATTAAGAGGTCAAGAACAGAGGATGATGGTCCAGTGAAGAACTCGCGATCCTAGAAGGTGCTATAGATACAAAACTGACCCCAAGCGACTCCGTACGACGAAGGATTTCCCTCACTCGCTCACTCGCTCCACTCATTACCCGGCAGCTACGCGGAGAGAAGAAGGGATTGAGGAGAATAGGGGAATTGAAAGATAAATTCTATCTGATTAGAACAGGTTGATGAAGCAGTAGAAAAAGGAAAAAGGGGAGGGTGCCACCGAGGCTAGGCCCATCAGAACTGAAATTCCATGAACCTTAAAAAACATGTATAACGGTCCATTTTGTTTATCCTCGGTAAGTTTTCGATTATCATGAGGTCCTAGATCTCGTCTACCCTTACTCATTAACAGTTCTCACATTTCCTCTTTCTAGTGTCTACCTGACTCGTTCTTGAAGTTGTAGTCCTGATAGTCGCCAAGTAATCTCGGGGGAGGCTCGGTTCGCTACCAATAATAATCTCGAGTTAGAAATGGATGGGACAAGAAAATAATGGTCAGTTCACGGACAGAAAGGGTTCTTTGAGAAACAATTACTACATGCCAATGCCAGTCTGTCAGTGCCTGGAGCTGAAAGATTTTTACTACTGGAGCTCCTGCTTGAGCGTACCCCGTGCTGACTCGTGTCTATGAAGAAGATGTAACCATATCTGCCCGGCGGCGCGACGTAAGTTCAAACTAGCTCGATGGATTCTGAGCGGGATTAACAATGCCTAAGTAACCATCGGCGCGCTTGACCTCAAAAATTCCCCGGTGGACGGAGAGAAGTCCTGATGCTACTCGGTAGATGCCAGTTTTCAATCAGTCAAGCAGCTATGTATATTCTAGGCGCTGAGGCGCTAGAATGGCGTGGCTACTCTGCTTGTTCGGTTCGATCTCATTCCTGTCCGGAGTCATAGCAGCTAAACCCAATCGATTTCCCCCTCTTAGCGCTTCGCTCTCTCCGCTTTACTTTCCTTACTCAGGCGCCTGCCATGTGGATGTTTCCGTGGTTTTCACAATCCGAAGTTCTCGTACCAGAATAGTGGGTTGGATAACCCGTGTCATTCAGAAATGTCTTACAGCCCGCTTCATAGTCGTTGCTGGATGCGTCTTCGGGGCTGAGACTGTTGACCAGAAAGGGTACTGATTGATCAGTGACAGCATTCCTTCCTCTTTTCTTCAGCCGTTCTTCCCACGGCTGACCAGACTAGGCTAGCGCCAACGCCAGAGCAAAACGAAGCTGAAACTAAGGGCAACTGAGCCCCCCTTCATGGCACATAGAACTCGAACCCGAACTCGAACTCGATCGAACTCCTGTCTTCCCCTTCCCCTCCATACCAAGATCTTCACTAGTAAACTTCCAGAACCAGGCTAGGTCTGTTCTTATTTGTTGGTTGTTTCCAATCTTTCTGTCTTTTTTATTGTTTGAGCGACCAAGCGGAATCAATTCAGGTCTTCTTATGCCCATGGTCTCCTCTGAGCCGCGATCTTAGGTACAGTATATAATGACTCGTCGTAGACAATTTTTTTGAGGAGTGGTCTATGGCTACTGTATGTGCTGGGGTACACCCCAGTAACTGAGAAGCATTTTGCGCCTTAAAAGGTCACGGGAAAGGTAGAGGGAGCAAAATAGTGGCCTGAAGGATATGGCACAGTCCAAGCCGTTTGGAATGCAGGGAAAACCCTTTTTGTTCCTACAATATGGTGATAGAGGATTTGATGTGGCCCTTGGAGTCGGTCTGAAATTGATTCATGGCCTACCTTACATATGATTGTCCCCTCTCAAATGATTATTGCAGTCTCTGCTTAATTGTAAGCCGTGAAAAGGTGGGGAGAGAGGGGTGAGAAAGGAGTGGGCGAGGTGGTACGGTTGACGACCTGAGCGTCCATCGCGCCCGCCGACCTTCGGTCTGCGGAAAATGCTTCCTGCAGGCATTTCTTGGTTCAAGTCGTTGGAATTAGGAGAAGAGGCAGAGCAATGAATGGTACCTTGCTGTGACTTTACTGGTGCCTCGACAGAACCCTGCCTTGACCACTCACCATTATGCGTCGTACAAGGCAATAATGGTCAGTAGCTGGGGGAAGGGATAAAGGGATAGTAGGGGGAATCCCGGAGGCACAATCACACTCAGTAGGCACAGCATCCCCAGCCAACGGACTACTGAACCGACCAACGACACAGCACGGCTTAGTAGGGAAGTGATGGGACGAGCAAGGAAGCAAATACTTCTTTCTCAGGAACGGTCCGGAGCAGGTATTACTGCAAGCCTCGCTCAAAGGGCTTATTTCGTGTGGAGAGGAGGCGGGGGGCGACAGTGCAATTTGGCACTCTGTCTCCTCCGTACAATAAATACTCATAGATATTGGCACTGCAATCGCGATCAGTGCTCCGTTTCCGCTGCGAGATTGTTGTTGCGAGCCAGTCAAATATCGAAGCTCGAAAAGCGAGGACAACCTAGACAATACGGAGTAAAAGGGAAGAGGAGATCGTCAGGTTGGCTCCACATCGATGGTGGTGTCAAAAGGCGCGGAAGCCGGACACTCAACCATACAGAAGCTGGTAAAGAGGATTTCACAAGCTACTAGACAGTATACTCCGTAGCTTACCCTGAATCGGCACTAAACATCAACTTCAATCACACGCGTCATTCGACCCCCGTAGTTTATGTTCGAAGTCGGGCTCGCATCCGACAAAGGGAAATGACCGCGGTAATGATGTTGCTCAGAAAGAACTCAAAGAAGGAGTAAGGTGAGAGAAGAGCGAAGAGGGAGGCTTGTACTATGTGTTGTCCGGGGTTTTCCCTTTTTTTTCTTTTTTTTTATTCAAGGGCGACTTGCCTTGCAGCATTCCCCAAACGGTGACGGCTACGGCGTCCCTCCCGCTGCAAGGTTGTTTAATAGACAGGTTCGATCGAGAGCTCAGAGCGAATGATCGCGATCGATCGGTACACAGGTAGGGAGATAATATGCGCACAGTGAACCAGTCAATCAATAGCAACGGCGGGGTAAATGAAGGGAACCGAAGGGTGACTGGATGACAGACAGTGGAAGCGAATGCCTGCTGTAGGCTGGGGGTGGAAGGAGGAGAGTCATTTAGTCGGTTAGTACTTAGTCACTGTAGTGGTAGTCCGGGAGGGAAGGTCACAGTCCCATTATCCGGGACAGGGATCGTCCGCAGCAGTTCTTCCTTTGCGACCAGAAACCCCACTCAATTTCCGTTTCCGTCACCATACGTCAGATAATTAATCGGCCCATATCAATTCAGTCGATGGAAGCCGAAGACAATGCTAGCCTTGCGCCGTTTGATTTGGCCCAGATCTCAAAGAGATGCCGCTGCAAAGTTTTGGAGGTTATTTGCAGAACAAGTAGACCAGGCTTGAAAAGAATTGCTGATTATCGATGACCGATTCCGGAGTCATCCTGTTGGTATCATCGAACCAGTACTAGTTAGTACTAGTCAACCGATACAGACGGATCGAGTTTTGAGCCAGATGACTGACTCGAAGAGCCGCATGTTCGTTACGGTTCGTATCACCGCCCCTGCCGGACTTTCACCCCGCCCCCCTTCCATTCGCAAGCGGCGTGATCAGGATGGATGACATGACTGACAAAGGTTCTACATTTTAACCCCATCAAGGTGAGGAACTGCCTGGATTGATTGGTGCGACCCGCCATATAATATGCAAGATTTATCGCCCGTGCATATGACATCTCGAATTATCGGCTAGAAGGTGGGTAGTAAGTGGAACTGACGTGCCGCAATCAGAAGGAAAGAATAAATGGTCTCTTTACTCGTAACATCATGGCATTTAGGGTGGGGGCATTTAATGAGGGGAATGGGCGAGGGGCAAAATATTCGGCGGTGGAGATTATGATGGCATTTTTAACGACCACATTATCTATGTGCATTCGTGTTTATTAGGGGATCAGATGAAAGAAGGATCCGAGAACCCAAGAGTGGAGGAACGGTGTAATGAGGATTGACAAGTGGTCATATAGTCTAAATTATTTCACAGATTTTCGGATGTGGATGCGCCATTGCATCACTATTCATGGGCCAGGATCTTTGTCCACGAGGAGGATGTCGTTCCAAACTTCGGGTAAGTCAAGACAAATCAGATGAGTTAGGCAGGCAGACAGACAGGCGGGGCGTTGACTTCACTGGCGAAACCTTAAGTCCCAGTCTTGTTGATGACAAGCGCATGAGGACAGACCGACCATGGGTCGATGACAGACAGGCGAGACAGGGGACAGGGGCAGCATTGAGAAAAAAAAAGACCCATGGTTACATGTCTAATAGTCTATCGTAGGCAATGGGAACATACCACATGATGGTCCAGGTCGGGTATGCATGAATCTTCACCAAGTGGGCTTTTGCCATGAGCATTGGTTGGAGAAGGGATCCTGCCACGGATACAAGGCAGAGCTGAAAAATGGAGTGCCGGTCGCAATCCCTCTTACGCTTAGCGCAGTTTGGTTGACTCGATGCGCCCAGTCACGAGTCTCTAATCCAACCCCCACTCTTTCACAACCTCAAGACGTGACGATCGGAACAGTACCCATTTGTAGCGACCCAGCTCATTGGCCTTCCCCTGGAACATGAGATTCAAGGCTCGCTCCAATCAATCACAATCCCATTCATTCTTCCTCTGGCAGGCGGAGAAGTCACTCCGCTTTGTTACAGGGATACATACGCCCTGTCGTGACCGTGGACTAGACGATGGGAAGTTCGTGATCAATCATCCATGCGCTGCTGGGATGAGTTGGGCGCGGAGGTTTCCAGGAGCTAAGATTAGCAGCCTAGTACTGACTCTCAAAAATTCGGTGAATACTACCATTCATTGTCAAAGTACATAGTCGCAAGGTTCGCGCCAGCACCGCACTCAAAACCATCCCGACTCGTGCATACGGCCGTCATGCGTCGACGGCTTGTTGGATTTGTGTCGGCATGAGCATGTCTGATCGGGTCCCAGACTTTGGCTGGTGTCCGGACCCCGGGGATCAGCAAGCCGGCCGAAAGAATATGCTGGCGATCTGCTTAGGCACAACTCTAAATCATTTTCTGCGATCGGACGATGTCACATCTTAGCACACCGTAGTCGCGCTCAAAGGAAAGTCATAAAATTCGGATCGTTGACAATCGTCTCCCGGGGGGCTGTCTAAAAAGAGCATTGTCCTCTTTCTTCAGAGGGCAATCTGCCCCGCGCCGATTGACAGGAGAGTTCGGTTCGAACCAGGAATTGGTCAAAGTTTAGCTGGCCCTGCTGGAGACCACGGGGGACAGCCCCGTTCCGACTCTAGCAGTTTAGTCATTTTAGTGTGAGCTATCCATGATTCCATCTCCCCTAGACCGAGCAAGCCCGCTTGTCACTCGTCGGTCGCATCCTTCGCGTGCAAGCCTAATTCGAATGACCCTCGTGGCCTCGCTAGCTCAAAGTCTCATCATGTCATTTACTATGACTGATTTGTCAGTTGTGATTAACGCACGCCGGGGGCTACACTGACTTTGCTCTAGTGTCGGTGAAGTTGACTAAAACAACGTATAGTGTCAACCTCACAAATGATAAATCGATCTTGGCTGAAAACCCCATGGTGTTCCCACCGACATGGAGGATTTCCGACGGGCGTTGTCATGGCTGTTTTGGTGGTTTTGTTTCTCTCTTAGCACTGTCGTTGCCATTCTGTACCTGGTCACAGAGGAAGTACCGCAGCAGCTCATCCCAAGTAGTGCTAAACTGATGAAGAGACTAGTAAATGAACTCCTTCCTGACCAGGTACTAACGGCTGGTCCCGTCGATATCGTGCAGCCGTCTGGCTTGTTGCATCATGTCATGTACAGTACAGTACATAGATTTATATCAGATAGCAGACATGATGGTGAGTTGTGTGTCAATGGCTCATTGCTGGCAGAGGACACTCGCACACTCTTGGATTAATCTCTTGATCAAGAAAGATAGCTAGCAGTGGGCATCAGCTACGCAGACTACAGCCACCGATGACGCAGGGCTCGCGGACCGTCGCCCAGCCAAAGCCGCTGAGGGGCTGGTGATGGTTCGAAACTGACAGGCCAGTCGCCACTTTCGAGCGGAGCCTGGAGCCCAGCCTGCAGCGGGAGACCACATTGGGTCTAGTCTCCTGCAACTCTTGCTTTGGTGGCTGCTATTTTAATTTTTTGCTGGTGATTTATTATTTTTATTCTTTTTTCTCATCGGTCGCACCAAGATCCCAGACAGATCGTGCAGGGATGGAGATTGGAGCAAGGGTGTCGATCCCAGCCTGGATCTTGCAGAGCGGCAGGGCGAAAAAAGATCCCCTTATCCCAATAAGGGAACACTTGACAAGGCAGCATATACTTGCACCAGCAGGCAGTCTTGTAGCTGTGGAAGAAATATGTGAGGTTATTCTCATAGATAGTATCACTGAAGGAAGCAAATTACTATTCAAAACAACCGACTCACCTGACTCATCGTTGCTATTCTATCAAGTATCCTGGATCGTAAGTCCCGCAAAAAGAGAGATTCCCCATTTGGGAAGAACATCGTATTGTAGTCGGAATTCCCGGGGGCAGGTCTCAAACTCTCCTCGAATTTTGCCTTTTTTCTTTTTGTTTTTCTGTTTCCTAGTCAGGTCAAATCCTTCTAGAAGCATCGCCTTCACCGCCAAAGCACAATTCGCTGAAACAAGGCTTCCCTCATCGGGCAATTTCAACGTCTTAAAAGCACAATAAACTTCCACCGTTGGTTATACTCATATTTTTGGCTTGTATGGCACGAGCAGCTAGGGATTGTTTGTCATTCTTGTCTTTTTGTATTTGCTGTCGTGTCACCCGCTGGTACCTGGTTCTTGGGATCCGCCGCGAGAAAAGGACCAGTGTGTGACACCCTGGCTGCCAACGACTGGCACTGGCCGGTCGGCCCATCTTGCCTGTCACAGTCGTGCACGCACCGTGTGAGTAGCTGATATCATTGCCATCGCCCCTTTCTATGCTTGGTTCCCAAGATGAATGTGAGACTGTGCAATATGTATTGGGCCATTGGGAACGAAAAAAATGTCTTCTCTGAAGGAGAAAGGATCCGGCGTTGGAAAAGACATGCTGATTTCTCATCTGGAACCTATGCACACTGCACAGAAACCTGAGGAACAAGCATCCTCAGTTGACTACAACCTTACTTAGTGATTATCTTGGCACAGACTCCGTCAACCCCAATCAGACAATCTGGATCGGATTCTCCATGTAAAAGAGTGGAATGTACTCCGTAAAAAACTTTCCTTTGGAACGCGACTGACATCATCGCCGGTTCCAGGTTGTCTCACCCGCTTCCTTTTACCTCCTCCGGTTCCTCCCTGAGACACCACCCCCGGCCACGAGATACCTTCCACCATTCCCCTCTCGAATCCACCACCCACCGCTGCTGCATGAATTGATGTGACGGTGGGAAGACTCTCCGAGGATGCCCCAGTCTGTCTGCCACTTCCCCCTTCCCTGGATCTCAAACCCAATTGCACATACCCACTGCCTGGTTGAGACTGGCGTTTCAATAGCCTGAGACTCTATTGCATCTCTAGTTCCAAACTTCCAGCCTTTCATTTCTCCATCTTCATTTCTTCCCTCCCAAAAGCCACCACATCACCGATGGCGGACCACTCCCACCCCACCAAAAAAAACAATACCTTTCTAGAACATGGCAAAGAAAATCCGGGAGTGCATCAAACTGGATCACCGCATTCCGACCGCGGTAAACGGATTGTCACATCATGTGAAGATCTGGCCAATAGTACAGCCTAGTCCTCCCTGCGCCTTTGAAATTATTCCCCCACTTCCTTCCCCTTAAGCCTTGCGGACCCAGCAGTTCGTCTTCATGCACGCGGAGGATCGACGGAAGCTGATGCTGCAGGCGGTAAAGACTCAAGTCCTCTCGATCCTGCCATGACGAGTATCCGGCCGTCTCGGCTGGCTTCAGTTGATGCTGTCTTCCCCAGAATACATGACGGCCGTTGTTTTAAAGCACGAGACTACTATGGACTTGTTTTTTTGTGCTGCCAGATTGTGATCTGCCATATCTGCCCTTTCAAAGAGGAAAACCAGGTTGCCAGGCGGAGGGAGTCGGTGCTTTTAGGGTGGGAAGGTAGCTAGGTTGCCAACCTGACACCGTTCAGCGTTTGCCACTATAACGGAACGGTTGCATTCATATTGAGATTTGCCTTGGTCTCGAATCAATGTCCGTTGACCCCTCACCTCTTCTGGTACCCCCTTCCGCTTAGTCAAACTGAGCATTGAGGCGTTGGTGGAGTGTCAGTTTGTATGCATTTCAGTGGGCCGGGTTTCCATGGATGTCGGTCAGCCCTCCTTGCAGATGTCCAAAATAGCTGGTACGTAGGGGTCTCTCCGATAGAATTTGGGGGCGAAAAGCCACTCGGTTTTAGCCTACACTCTAATCCTCATTGTGGCTCGATACGAATGAGAATACGGATCAACCGGCTCAACCCTACAAGGTTCTTGGTACATTTTCCCTATGTCATCTCATCATCGTCTACTCAATTTCTCACGAGGGTTGGCAAGCCACTTGTCCCCACTATTCAGGCAAGTGTTCTTTTGCTCTCCCTTAAAATGACTGGGGAACTGGCAGCATTGAGATTGGAATCATAGACGAGGTGTCAAGCCTAGACGCACTAATTCTTTCCCGGCTTTCTTCCCTCCAAGTGTGTCAGGTCAGATTCAATCCCGGTCTGTGCTAATCATCACTGAAACAGACCCAGCGCGCTGTGGTAGCTTCCAGACTCTGTGTGCGGAGATTTACCGGCTGCTCTGATCGGTGCAAGACAAACCTGAGACTCTTTTCTGAAACTGTCGCTTGCGTGGCTTGTCCCCCATGCCTGTGACACTGACAACAGGCCATTAGGAAAGGAGGAAGAAGGGAAGTTTGGAGGCGGCCGGGTATGCATAGCACGGCAAAGCTGCAAGTGATAACCAGACTCGATCTTGACCGTAGCGCCTTGCTTGCAAGTTCTTCTTTGTGTGTGGAATTGCCCCATCTTCGGTGTCAAGATGGTTCGCTGGCGAAATTACGGAGTAGTCATTTCCTTAATCTCTTCCCATAATGAGCCGATATGACTCCATCATTTGACTCCATCATTTGCCTCAAAAGGTATGTGACACTGTCGCTGGCAGCACGCGGGGCCGGGGGGGGGGGCGGGGGGGGCGGGATAAAGGGCGTGTGTGCATAGACATGGTTTTCAGACTGTCAACAATCACAGCGGTGCGAGACCATTCATGCAATAATTGCCACTCCATCTTTGCGCACGTACATTTATTCTTAGATTCTTCGCCCAAGCCGGCGGTCTTGTTCTTTCCTTGGATACTCGAAACTTGAAAAGGGGGGAAGCGGAGGGAAGCATCGGTAATTCGACAGTAGAATCCGATAAGTATCAAGAGTCGAGCGCCCCTTAAGGCTGGTCAATTCGTGATGGAAGGAAGAACTTTATAGAAAGCGGATGTCATGCATGCGCTGAACGCAGATGACAGATCAATACACACAACTTACGATCTCGATGATCTGATCTCTTAGTACTTAGAGGGCTGTTACCTCGATGACCTATCATTACGTTGGTGTCAATCAACTTACATACTATATTTATTACTGGTTTCACCTTTACATACAGACGTTCAGAGACATGTAGGAGACAATGCCTCATGAATCAAAAGTGGAATGAGGGTAGAGGAGTTGTGGAGGAGGTTGGAACCGTAGATCCATCGTGCAGTCTTTATTGCTTAAATACTACAGCCAACGAGTACAGGTAAACTTCGTTATTGTCCTAAAATGTGAGGATGTCTTTCTTCGCTGCGAGAAAAGCCCGGAAAGGGTGCGCTATGGATGTACATAGGGTAGATGATATGTAAGATTGATGACACCGACTGTGATGCTTAAAGCAAGAGCAGCAGCTTGATGTTCTGTCCATTCGATTCCTAGAAGATATCGTCCACATGAATACAAGGCATTTGCGATAGAGGCATCGCACAAAGGGCCACGACTTCTTAATTGATATTCTTTATGCTATATCTTTCGCTCAGTAAGTAGTCTCTTCTTCGTGCATGCCGGTATTATGTTTATTATATATAACAATATCGATTACTATAAGCGTTATTGCCAGTAACGGAGACTTATATACAAGATCATTGGACTTGAAGTTATACATCATTGTTTGATTTAGCGAAGTCAAATGTATCTCAAGGTTGCTATGTCTCGCCTCTGATCATGGTTCACATACGGCCAGTATTGCTGCTCAGAATAGCAATCTGTACCAATTCGTACAGTTCAACGTATATCTATCTGTCTCTCGGCTGCATTTTTGAGTGTCTTAGCGATACAAATCTTCGTGTAGAAAAAACTTCATCTCTATTTATTTCTGTCGTCATTAGCCGGGCCCACTCGATGTGTCATGACTGTGGTATAATGGTTCATCATAATGTGGTTGAAAGGCGATGTCTGACAAGCTGGATTTGCAAAAACGTAACCTTATTAGAGCCGAGCTTCATGAGTCAAAACTAGTGACAATCTCATAGCAACCAGCATCCTATCGCGAAGGGATAGCACTTATATTGTCAGGTATGCTCTTTCCTATAGAGTATCCAATGTGGTCTGAAATGGTTCATCGATGGTGGACTTAGGATAGATCGACTTCGATAGTTTCGAAACCTTTGGAAGCAGTATTTGAGGGTTCATTGTACATTTGTTATTATAGTAGATAGTAACAAAAGAGCCGTAATTGATGAACAGCGTCTAGTCCAAGGGTATCTAAATACAGAGGACAAACCTGGCTTGGCCTTGAAGAGTTACGCCTATAGGGCCAATATAAGGAGCATCGACAGCATACCACCGGGAAGGAACCCAAACATCTGTCGATTCGTCAGGCGAATGGCAGGTGCCGCGCCAGTGAAAAGAGTGCTAGTTGCGGCAGACGTGGTAGAAACCATGGTTGGGGGGATAGTGGAAGACGCAGTCACCGAAGTAGTGCTGTAAAGTCTCTGGAATCCAGAACTTGTCGAGGTAGAAGCAGTGATGTTGGTTCGAGCATTAGCGCCACTGGTTTGGGAATCGCTCGAGCTGGTTGCGTCGTAGGTAGCACCGGCTTGCTCGGTCTCATCTCCAATGCCGTTTCCAGCCTCAGAAACTGCCGAGACACCACTGACCGTGGCAGAAGCAAGATAGGAGCTTGAAGAAGAAGTCGAGCCTTGGGAAGAACCGGCCTCAGAATTGAGACCTGTCTCGGAGTCAGCGTTAGAGAGTGTGGGCGTGCCAGATCCAGAGGCAGATCCAGAGGCAGATCCAGAGGCAGATCCAGAGGCAGATCCAGAGGCAGATCCAGAGGCAGATCCAGAGGCAGA